CAAACGTGGACACATAATCCATGAGGGTAAATAATCAAACGCGGCTCTTGCCACAAAGACAAATATGGACACACAATCCACGAGAGTAAGTAACCAAAAGAAGCTGAAGCCACAAAATAAACGTGGACACACAGTCTACGAAGGTAATGCTAACCAGACGTGGCTCAAAGCCACGAAATCAAACGTGAATACAATATTCACGAATAATCATCCCTCCGTTCCATGTGCATTGACCATCGCACGGGGCTAGTACCTCCTATAAGCACCCTGCTAGCTAGATGAACTATGGTGCGTCAAGAGCTAACAAAACTGCCATTAGCAATCAATGTTCTATATAAAGTCTCTTTTTAAAACCATTTTCAAACATGCAAGAAAATCACCACTTTAAAGATACAATTGTTATTCTCAAAATCAAACTCGCATGAATACTTTTGAGCATTAAAACTTGCCAGAATAAAATTTCATATCAAATGCTCATGCTTGCATTTGTTGAATAATAAAAAATTTCCAATGCTAATGAAAAGGAATTTTATTAATCCTAAAAGGATATCTCATAAGAGGTAAAACATTCATATACTATGATGAATCATTTTTCACCACCATCTTAAAACTTAAAAATGAAGAAATTTAATTAACAAAGTATCCACTAATCAACATAATTATTATTTAAATAATCAATGTAACAAGATAACTTTTAATAAGAAAAAATAATTGATAAATTAGTTGGGATGCTATCCACTTACTTGAGGCAAATCCAAACACTGAAACTTACCCATGTAGCATTCCCCACAAGGTTTATTCCTGAAACACCTAATATAATAATAATTGAACCTTAAAATTTTTTCAAAACTCATAATTGCCCACTCACTTAACTATTATAGTATATTCTAGCATTACTCTTGGACACCCATCTTTTAATTTTCATTCCAGAGAAATTCATATCCTTCACATTCTTTTCTAGCACACAAGTCATAAAATTCCACTGACACATTTTAATCAAACAATACCATTTTTTTTACATTTAAACTCTTCCTACAATATTTTATCAAACATCTTATATGCATTCAAAAATCAAATCATACACAGGTATCAAATGTATAAATCGCCAACCATACAACCCTTAAGCATCGACAAGTTCTTTATAAAATTTCTTGGATTCAATTTGATATAAAGATTCAACCTCCTATAAAAGGAAAACTTCATTTTGAATTTAAATTTTTAGTCCTTAACACTACCAAAATTCATCTAATTGATTCAAAGGTTACCCCAAACATCACCATTTATATCACAATTTCTTCATAAAACTATAGCCATAGTTAATTATTTCATTGGAACATGATTCTCTCTCAAGCCTTATTTCAAATACCTTGTGTGCACAACTTTTAAGTCATTCAGTAAAACTTGTTTAGCCTCAATGTCTTACCTAATGATTTTCGTACATACATCATTAAATTTATCTTACTTTTCCAATCTAATTCTCCATCAAAATTAATGTCAGCTCAAAAATTCAATCCGAAACAACATTTTCATAGCCAAACAAGAAAGTAATGAAAACCACTATATATCTATATACCACACAAGATCATCAAAGATGAAGATGGGAGGATAAGCTCCCTCAAACCAGCCACAACCAATAAGAATGATGGAGGGGGAGGAGTTTGAAGCTGAACAGGGGAATTTTTTTTATATATAGCTATTAGTTTTGACTACACACACACGTTCAGCAAAGAGAGGCATAATTAGCAACCTCAACCGTTAAAATGCCCACATATCAAATTAATAACAAGGAGTTTAAACCTTCATACATGAACTTGTAATGATAAGGAAGAGGAAGAGAAAGAAGTGGACTAAAACAGAGGAAGGAAAATTCACACACCAACAATTGCACCCACAATGACGCACGGATGGAGGAGAAGCAAAACTGAAGTTTCCAATCGCCCAATCCTCCAGCGACGGCAATAGAAGAACATGATGTGAGAGAGAAAGGCGTTGCTATTCTGACGCCTACAAGATCGTCGGCGATATTGAAAATGAACACACGTATGGTTGTCAACTTAGAACAAAGACAGTATTAGGGAACAACAAACTAAGAAATTCAGCAACTCCATGCTCTCCCTCTCAGTGACAAAAACACAAAATAGTATCTAGCACACACCTCACGGGCTTATGTTGACACAAATCATCACGAAGACAGGGAAAGGAAGTCAACAACTAAACTTCAACATGGCTGGAAATGTGAATAAAAAGGACAAATTAACAACAGCAAAACAATCTCCTACTTCAGCGAACTAAGAAGGTTTATAAGAGTCAAGGAAATGAACTGACTAGGAGCGTCTCAAGGAGTGTATAATGGCGGTGGAGAACTAACAAAATGCTCTGTTTTTGTTGTTTTTTTTCTGTTTTGCTTGAGAAAATAAAACTAATCGAAAGGAGTTTTGGAAAAATTACAAGAATGAGAATGAGAAAATTACAAGAAAAGGCACAATAATATTACAAGGAAGGACATGAGATTTTTCTACAATTTTAAAACTAACCTTTTGCTCAAAAAAATTTAAACTTTGGATCCTCAAGAAAATTTCCAGCATAAGTTCCTCTAAACTACCAATTTCTATTTACTATAAATTTATTTAAATAAAATATCCATTGAGAGAATTTTTTTTTTCAATTTAAAATGTAAGGTCATTACAGCTTTGGCCGCGGCTTGCATTATTTGTGTTATTTACTATAGCAAAAAAGGATTTTTTTCAAAAAAAAAATAAGTCAAAAAGGGCATTTTTATAAATTTTGCATCATCTGGTAGGGTAGCACACAATGAGTCAATCATGGCAAATGACACAAAATTTATAGAAATTTCCCTTTTGATTTATTTCTTTTTACAAGAGTCCTTTTTGACTATTTTACCACTTTTAGAACTTTGTTTAGACAATTTAGCCCTTGAGAATCTGCTTCAACATTATTTGAGTATTGGTTTAATATTTTGGGTTTGAAAACTTTATTTTATATGGGTTCCCATTTGGTAAACCACTTCAATTAGAAAATTTCTATTACCATTTGGTATATTTTTATTATATTAAGAAACTTTCTAAAATTACCATGGTAGGTTTATTTTAAAATATTTAATCTTTTTTACCATGGTAGCTCCTTTTTTACCATGGTAGCTTACTTGCAATTATTTTTTAGTTATGGAAAACCGTTTTGAACCATAGTAATACTTTTCTAAGTTGGTTTGACTCTTAATTATCATGGTAGACTCCTTTTTACCATAGTATGATTTTAAAATAATAATATCTATTGTCTATCCTACCATGGTAAGGTTTGATCAAATACTTTTGACTCTTTTTATCATGATAAATGTTTTGAAAGTTGAGTTTTGTCTAATTATTATTTTTATTGGGGAAAAATCAATTTCTAAATTTTGAGTTTTTTACCTTCCTAAGTTGTGGTCAACTAGAACCAACCTCATCTTGCTACAAATTCACCTCATGCAAAAGTTGTTCTTGCTAAGAATATCTTGTCATTTAATGGAAAGCTTTAACAGTATCTTGCTTGCTAGAAAAGTTTTTCAAAGATACAAAATAATAAATTTTGTCTTCCACATGACTCAATACATTGCTACCTTAATTGTTGGAAAGGATTTCTATATTGATGTACTTGGCTAAAATTTTATCTTGCCTGTACCTCCTTGATTCATGCATCAAATTTAATTCATTGAGTGACGAATTCTTCAAACAAGAGAGAAATGATGGAATATGGGATAATGAATAATTAGAATAATTAAGGTTATTTTAACATATTTGAGTTATCCATTAGAGATATTAGAATAAAGAGCTTTATCATTAATACTAGGATTTATTGTTTTATTTTATCATTGTCTAGGATTTATTTATTATGTCAAATAAAATAAGACATCTAGTTACTAGATACTTTATCTTTATCTTTTGATTTTAGATATATTACGATCCAAGTTTGAATTAGATTTAGATTTTTTATTTTATTATTCTTTCATTATTTTAGAGCTCTACAAATAGAGTTAGGGTTTTTCATTTGTATTCATCTTTTTGATAAATATTGAATAGATTTTTCAAGAGTTCTAGCCTTTCCCTTCCCCCCTCTCTCTCTCTTCACTCCTTTCTCTTTCTCCCTTTTTCCCCTTCTCTCTCCCCATTTTACATCAATTAGTATTGGAATTTTTGTTGCATTATTGATTGACTTGAACAAAAATTTAATGCATAGCTAGCGATATAACTTAATCTTAAAGTATGATATTGGCAAGTTAATAATGCGTTAAACTATAATAGACATAAACTAAGGAAACAAATATTGCCAAAGGTTACTTGTGTAGAAAATTGAACAGCCCGTAATTTACTAGTAACTAAATAATAATTTGCAATTGATTTAAATACAAGTAACTTTGGCCTTTGATTGAAATTGTGAAATATTTAAACCATGTATTATAATTAAATTATTATACCGATCCTTAACTTATTCATATCAAATCCATAATTATTTGAGATCCCAACTTAAAAGGACTTAAGCTTTAATAGGGTTTATCGAGAATTTAGATCCTCTCCATATCTTCCCTCAAAGTAGGGCATTAAATCAAAGTATGTTTTAATATGAGAAAGAATATGAATGCTTACACAAAAGAGGATGGAGGAAAAAATACCATGATGATTCATTGTTTTCCCAACTAACACTATTGATTTTGCTAAATGTTCTTAACGAAGGCGATGAGAAACATCTTCAACAATGCATGGGATAACATTATCCAACTTCCGCCTACTCAATTGCAAGCATTCATTAATAAGCACAAAGCAAACAAGTGAAAATTTGAATATAGTAAAATGAGTTAAGAATATGAATTATGTTGTTATGTTTTTGTTGAAAAACTCATAACAAACACCAAAAAACTCTTTTTTGGTTTCAAAGAAAGAATTCATAGAGACTTACCCTTTTTCAAAGCTCCAACCAAGCATGTGAGCTACCTCAAACAAAGCCAACTTCCACCTCTACACCTTTTTCATGTCATTCTTTAAATATTCTACATGCTCAAACATTGCTAATCCAAAACTTCCAAATTGATGTCTTACTTTTAAAGGGTCTACTTCACGGAAAATTGGGAAAACCAATTTTCACTTTGTCTTTATACAATCCATGATTATAGCTAGCGCGTCAAGACACCATGTGAAATCAGCATAAGATGAAGAGAATATGATAATTGAAATCCTGGCATCCTCAATTGCTCTAACCACAGCTGGGAGAATACCTTCATCCTTCCTAAATTCAGCATTGAAAGCCCTAATATTGTTCTCACATAAAGCATCATATAACTTGTTCTTGAAAAAGCGGGAACAATGATCACTGGCTTGAAAACTTAGAAATACATCATGTCTCCATCCTTGTACAAAAGATTATATATATTATTACAGCCATTAATTATTACTTCTAATTTTAACAAAAAAACTATGCATTCTACAAGCAAAAAAATTGATGCAATAGGCCAATATGATCATATCAAAGCTTCAAAATTTCATAATCAAGGTAAAAGTGTGTAAACAAGTAATAGGCATATAGTCATGGTAAAGCACAAAGACATGTGGAAAAGAATATATATACCTGGTTGCAAGTTATTTTCAAACTTAATGCCTTGTTCAGCTATGTTAGTTCCTAAATGAATTTGTGTATAATGACTACTATCTGTGATGGAAATTTCTACACAATTGCGGACATTCTATGTCACGCCCCAAAAATAGAGGGTGATCGGCACGGGTGTGAACCACTCTCACATTCATGTAAGCCACCAAGTGAATATTTATTCCATTTTTTAAGAAAAGAACAAAAATTCAATCAAATCACATGAGAATTAAAATAACTTCTTTAAATTCATTATCATAAGAAAGTGTCGACGTTTTTGTAGAAATTTCAGCAGAACCTTCCCTATAACTAGGATCTTCTAAAAATTCTACAACAAAAATTCTTTACAAATAACAGTATAAATCAGGAGCGTAGCTCCTTCCAGCCAGCAATCAATATACAGACCAAAATATAAGGTTCATCAACAACTTATGTGGAGCATCTACTCTTTCTTTCAAATCAAAAAGACATACAAATCATATATTTACATTAAAGCAACAATACCAATCAAAAAGGACCACCCACTGTAGCTAGTTGCCCTTTAGAAGTCAATGGTGGGATTAGCCTGAGCTAACAAATCTGAGGCCAAAATAATTTTCCAGTGAATAGCATTCCCATAAAAAAATTCTTAAAATTTTAATCAATAATCTCTAATAATGCTATCAGCTAGTTAAAAGCAATTCCATCAAAATTTATAAACATGAAAGTCATAACAATTTTTACAAAATAAGAGTAATTTGAAAACAATTTATGTTATCATGCTTAAAGAAAATAATCTGCTCTCATGTAACTCAAAGTGATACAAATTACTAGTCAAAATCAAGTAAATTTTGAAAACACATATTAATCAACATTTAAAATTTTTGAGAACTCAACAGAATAAGTTACAAACGTGGATACTTAGTCCACGAGGGTAAATAACCAAATACGGCTTATGCCACAAAAACAAACATGGACACACCAGTCCATGAGGGTAAGTAACCAAACGCAGCCGTAGCTACGAAACAAATGTGGACACACAGTCCACGAGGGTAATTAACCAAACGCGGCTCAAGCCACAGAATCAAACGCGGGTACGACGCCCACGAATAGCAAACGTGAGAATAAAACTCACAAAACAAACTAGCTAGTGTTTAACCACAGCACGCTACGAGCTAACGGAACTGCCGTTAGCAGCAATGCTCTGTTTAGAGTCCTCTCAAAAATTGTGTTTCAACCATGCGAGAAAAATAATTATTTCTGAAATATAATCTACGTTTCCAATACCAAACTCGCATGCATCACTTTAAATTTCAATTTAAAACCTGTTAAAAATAGTCTTTCATAAATAATATACGAACTTGTGTTATCTAAATAATCAAGGATTTCAAGAGTTTAATAAACTGAATAATTCTATAACTCTTTGAAACATATTCCCTGAGGAAATAAATACAAATACCCTCCTTTAAACATCTCATATCGATATCACAAGGTTTCAATACTAAGGTAATTCACAAGAATAAAATATCTCAACGAAAATTTGTTAAAAATAAAAATACCAATAAAATAAATTAAAGGGAATGCTATTCACTTACTTGTTGAAGCTTCAAATTCTCAAAATATTCCTTGCCTTTAATTCTAGTCAAGGTCCCGTTCTTCCTTGCACCCTATCAAAATATATATATAATTAAATGAAAATTTTAACATAATTCCAAATCAATCACCATCATATTTAGAGTTGATCCAAGTGTTATCGTTAACATTACTAATCCCCACTAATTTTTTTAGTTAAACCATCCATTCATGATTCCATAGCTTGCCCACTTATATGCTTCTCCCACCAAACATTGTCCTTCATACTTATAATCTTCCCCATTTTTTTTTTAGGTAAAAATTTTTCATAGGTTTTGCACCAATTACTTTAGGTGCATAAATTCTAATTATTTAAATTATATATCCAAATCACTCTCTTCCTACCTTTCCTTAATAGTTTCTTTAACCATATTCAATTCAATTCAAATCTATTTAGCTCATGGAATTATGACCCACACACACACACACACATAGCAAGTCCTTGAACAAACTTCCAACTTAAATTTGAATCTTCTCCCTCGTATAACAGCACAGCATAACAGTAACAAAAGGCATGCATAATATATATATATATATACTCTTCTTGTTTTTTTTCTCAGCCACGTACAGCCATAACAGCCATAGGGAAGCTAAATTCTTTTATGCCACTTTAATCACCAGTCCACATATATATAGAGTAAAAGAAGCCTAAACGTGAAGCCTTCTCACCTTGACTCACCACGACAGAAAACCAAGATGAAGGAATTGAAACAACCGACTGAACAAGGGAGATGTAATTCGAACATTGTCACGATACACAGCAATGAAAGGAGCTTGACTCCACAGCACCGATACAAGCTTACAACAATAGCTCTACTCTAGTTTTGATACTTTTTGATTTTTCAACTCAGAACACACTGACCGAACAGCATGCAGAAAGAATGCAAAAACAAGCAGCATGTAACAGTAAAGGAGAGCATAAAGCTCACGGTTGAGCTGGGAAAGGAAAGACTCATGAATCCAGCTCTAACGACTAAGTCTTACGGTAACAGCAACCCAAACAGACGACAGAACCCGAGCAGTGATCGAACTCAACGAAGACAGCCAGAAACAGAATGGAGAACGATAATAAAGACAGGGAATACAGGGAAAACGAACCAGAGAAACTTATAGCTTCAACAGCAAGGGAGATGAGTCGGTGATCACTGAAACAAGAAAAGGTCAGAGGTATAGGAAGGTTAAGTCGATCATATTCTCATACTCTCGTTCTCTCTCTGTTTTTCTGGAATGGCTGAGGAAGAGAAGGAAGCTTTTATCATATTTAGAAAAGGGTAATTTCATAATTTTGGAGAAGCTGGAAAAAAATAAAATTCTCTTTTGTTGCATCAGGGATTCGAACCGAAAACCTTCAAGTTGCGTGGCATACATATTTCCATTGTACCAGTACTCCTCATTGTTATAATTATCCCAAACATAACTAGATATATTCATATAGTTAATTCAATAAGTGTATATATATATATATATATATATTATTTAAGGCTATTACATTCCACTTGAATGATTGAGAGAGTTTGAGTTCAGCCTTTAATGCTGAATAGATTGAGTATATATAAATGATTAACTTTTAATGTTGAGAAGCACTGATTGGAAAGAACTTTTTGGCTAATACCATCAATCCACACAAAAATATAAGGGTTGGTGTTATTTATGGGTCTTTTTGCATTCATATTATGGAAGCATTGAAACCTTCTTGGCTTGATTATCAAAATCCATATCATAATCATTGAGAACTTTTCACAAATTGATAATGACAGAGGAGAATCGCTAACTTTATTGAGCATTAACTCTCTTGGGAACTCTTTTTGTGGCAAAACATAGTTTAATTTTCCTTGTTTGGTGAAAATTGCTTGCCACACATTACAAAAATAATGATAAATGATACACAAATAAAAAAAATATCATAATTGAAGAAACAAATAGAGACCTGATCCAATACTCTGCCTTTAGAAATCATAGTCAATGATTTGTAATTTATGGCACTAAATATTTCTAGGTTTGGTGGCATCCCTAAAATATATTGAATATGCTCGCAATTGTCCAAGTTAAGACTTTTCATTTTGCAACATTCTTCAATGCATGTAGGAAGAGTTGTGAATTCTTCATAACTTAGGTCTAACTGTATCAAATTTAGGAAGTAAGAAAGACACAAAGCAAGAGAGTCAGTTGACAAATTGCAATTTGAAAAATAAAAATATTCCATTTTTGAAGACTCATTTCTTTAGTCTATGCTTGCTTCTTCTCCATCTATCTTCAAATATCACATCTCATGACAAAGATTTATGCAACGTGACCAAAGGTTTGACAACATAAAAAAGCTAGCAGGTAGTTGCTTAAGCTAATAACACTCCTCCATGTTTAAAATTTCAAGCCCAATGAGTTTGCAAATTAAAGATGGAAATTCTATTATGGTTATCCTATCCAAATCGAGTGTTCTCATCTTTGTCATCTTCACTAATATTTCTAGGAAATATTGTAGATTTGAACATCCTAACAGGTTGAGATGTTTAAGAGATTCCATGTTAAGCCCAAATGGTAAAACCTTCAAATTTTTGCATTGCATAGCGCTCAATCTTTTGAGTTTACTTAAACTTCCAATAGAATCATGAATTTCAATTAAGCTTGTACAATTATCAAGATACAACTCTGTTAAATTAGAAGCTCTTGATAAGTCTAGCATTAGTTGTAAGAACTTACAACTTTTAAATTCCATGTGCCTTAAACTCTCAAACTTCTGCAAATCTTTAGTAAACAATTACATTTACAAATTATAAAAAGAAACAAAAACATTCTAATCAACTATACTTACTATGTTAAATGAGTGGAGCAATTCAATATAACTTAAGGACAAGTCCACATAGACAAGTTCTATTGGACAAAAATCAAGTGGTAAAAATCTAAAGGGGTTATTCCACTCCAACCACGTTAAACTATTTGGGAGATATGTGAGGCCTTTAGAAAAGCATACATTCTTTATCACAAGCATTTTGAGTTTCTTCATCTTCACAAATGCCTCTCCACTCCATTATACTTCTTTACCTTGAGATAAGTCTAGAATTCTGGTCTCAAGTTTATTAGTTCCCTTTCAAAATGAGAAGCACACAATAAATTTCAAACTTTAGATATGCATCAATATTGATTAAATTTTTTAAAGAAATTAAAAATGCATGTTGGTGGTCTTATGATGTCAGGTTGTAAGATTTGAAGAATGTCTTTATAAAACCATAACCTATAACGTTTACTAGGCTCATCTTGTGATTCTTGACAAACAATCTCTTTACCCATATCTTCTATCAAATCATGCGTTATCATACAATCTCCTTCAATCTTTATAAGGATTTATCAATGAGTACTTTAATAGCATATTCTAGTTGGATTTCACAAAGGCATAGTAACCTACACTTAACATCACTTAATTTCTCACCATTGAAGAAACAAGCCAAGTCAAGAAAAACTTTTTTCTCGAAGTCTCCTAAAGCATTGTAGCTTAATTGAATGACTTCCAAAACTCTTTCATGTGACATTGCTTTAAACTGATCCAAGGAAAGACTCCATTGATCAACTCCTTTACCATATAAATTAGAGCCTATAACTTCTAAAGCTAATGGGAAGCCACAAGAATAAAGTATTGCATGGTTGGAAACCTCTATGAAGTTATACTCCACATTCTCTTTTTTAAAGGCATGCCAACTAAGCAATTAAAGAGATTCATCTTCATTTTATTTTCTAACTTCATAAATATATTTAACATGAGTATGACTTACTAACAATTGTTTATTCCTTATTGTGATGACAACTTACTTCCCAAACCAAACCAATCACAACTCCCAGCTAGTGCTTCTAATTGTACTAATTCATCAACATCATCAAGAATCAAAAGAATTTTCTTTTGACTAAGCCTACATTTTGTTATTGGTATTCCTTCATGAAAATAACCTAGTTTAAGATCCTTCTCCATGACTAATTTATAGAGTAATGTCTCTTGAAGATTTGGCAAACCATTTGGCATTTTGAACTCTTTTCTTACATTAGAAAGAAAGCATAAGCCTTCAAAATGATCAGCTATCAAGTTATACAAGGCTCTTACAATTGTTGATTTACCTATTCCACCAACCCCCCAAATCCCTACCATTTTAGTTTTCTTGGTAGACCAAAGCTCTAAAAGTGAGATCACTTCTTTCATGTGTGACACGAGTCCAATTGGATAGCGATTAATGTATAAGAGATCATGATTAATCCTAGTAGGGACTTCACCAATGATCTTTTTAATAGATTCATGTTCTTTTGCAATCCTGACCAATTCATAAAAAATTTACTTTAGTCAAATAAAAAATTACTATACTCTAATCTAAGGGGGAAAACTCTATCGACTTCACTTTTCCTGCCAATAGAATAAGTTTTATACCACCTTTTCAATTATTAAACAATAGATAAGTGTTGTGAAATTATTAGAAGTTCTCAGACTATAATTTCAAACCCAAACCTAATTATTAGAAAAAGTTAATTTTATATGACAAGGGATAAATGTAATTGTAAGTATGATTATGTATATATTTCTCTAATTAATTGAATAGAACCTCTGCATGTTGCTGGAAGAGTATAGGGCATGCGTAATTATTGTTTGTGTTATCAAAAAAGCACATTTTGCAAGGATTATGTATATATATTGTAAACGTGAAAATAATGATACCAAACTAGCCAAGTCTTCATTATCATCTTGGATTTATATTCTAGAAGGTATAGAACTCGAGAGAGAAACTAACTTTAAGAAAATATTCAAATTCAATTCTTTTATGATGAAATACAAGGAGTGAGGCCTTATTTATACTAATTCCTAAGGCCAAATGTCAAACAATAACATTAAAACAAAATAGGGTTACACAATTTATGAAGGTTATGATAATCCATGAGGGGTTATGTAATTAATGAAAGAGTTATTAGAATTCATGGAGAGGTTATGGAGAGACATGGAATTAAGCTTTTGGAATTCCATGTGATTTTTTAGTTTCATTCTCCTCAGGTTAGACGTGACTCGCAAGTCAAATTCAACGTCATTATCAACATCGAGTACAGAAACACCATAAGCATTAGGCAATTCAACTTTATATGATTCATTATTGATATTTTGCACAAATCTTAAATGATTCATGAGCTCAATGTGACAACTTGGCAATTGGTTGTTTAGGGAAGCGTTCATTCCTTAAATGAATCCAAGCCAAATCTCCCACCATATGAAAGCATGTTTCTTAAGCTTCATTGCAACAATTTTAATTTTTTGCTCCTCAGGAATCTCTTTGTATGCAAATACTCATTTGACGGTGTGAAGTGAATCTACGAACTCGTTTGGTGGAAGTTTTCCATTAAATTTAGGACTTTCCACCTTAATATTGGTAGAATAGAATTGTTACCTTTAACACCTGTGGCTACTACTAGAAGAAGAATTGCTACTATTAGAGTCTCTTTCTCTGTCTTTTCTTTAGTTATTCAATAGGGCTTGTTGAAGTTCAATAATACCCTTTAATTCCTAAATTTGATGTCTCAAATCTTCAATCTCAACTTCATGCACACTTTTAAATCTTACAAGCATTTTGGACTTATAAGAAATGTTAGGAATCTTGGAGTAGAAATGTAATAACCTAGAAAAAAAATTTAATTAAATATATTATTGTGTTTTGATTGTAGTTATATTATTTTTGGGACAATTATGACAAGAGGGAGTACTGGTATAGTAGAAGTATGCACATAAAGTATCCCTTAGGTTCAAAGTTTGAATTTGTTTGAGCATATGGCGAGATTTTTTAAAAAATTATTTTCAACATTTAAAATTACCAAAATGCCACCACCTATCAGATATATTTGTTTTCTCTTCATTCTCCTTCATTAACCACGTTTCTGCATCAGGGGGAGGGAGAGAAAAATCTAGAAACCTCAGGTGCCGTCTCTATCTTTGTTCCTTTTGTAAGTCTCAATTCCTTCCATCCCTTCATTCCTTACTATCGTTGACGTGAGAGTTGAGTTGTTGTGAGTCTTCTGTCGCAGCTTTACCGTTCTTGAAGATCCTTTCTTTTCTGCTTCTCGCAGCCGAACAATTTTCTCCATCCATTCTTTTTGTTTGACCATGGTGATAATGTGAGGAGCTAATTTAGTGTCATAGGAGGTTCGTATTAGGAGATTTAAAGGCTAGATATCACTGTCTTCTTCCTCCCCTATTGAGCTGCAAGAATTCCGTCTCCTCCTCTATTTCTAGCACTAACAGTTTAAGATAGGAATTCCAAATCTTTTCTTCTTAATTGTCTTCATGCCTTTATGGGTTTATGTTGTAATGAATGAGATTTTGATGCTTTTGTGGGCTGTTGTGTGTATGTGAACAAGGAAGATAAATTCATTAAGTTGAAACCTTAAGTATTAGGAGGAAGAGGATGATGGTGTGGATTGAAGCTCTAATGAAATTTGACTTGTTTATTGGTTATAATATTGATAAAAAAATTTGGAAGTTAAATTGAAGAGGAAGAGGTTGGTATTTGTTCAAGAAATTGGTGCCCATAAGGTGCTTGATAAAATTCCCATTAGGAAAGCTCTGCTTGAAATTGCAATTATTAAAATCTCATTAAATTCATTGAAAGATATAATTGGTTGGGATGCTATTATCTTATGAAATTAACTTGAAAATTTCAAAAGGAGATACTTGAGTAGGTATTTTTTCTATAACCTTGTTGGATTTTGCAAGAAACATGAATTGGATTGGATGTTGCTCATTTGTGAAACTAAATCGAACATTGCGAAAAAAATTTTATCTAAGTTATTGAGAGATTAATTGAATTCTCGTGAGTTTTATGGTTGATAATTTATAAACCATAGTATTGTCATATGATTTAATTTTTGGACTTGTATGTTATAAGAGCATACTCAATATTTTAGATAAGGGGAGTATACATATGAGATAACTACGATATTAGAGAAGCATTTAAGACATGGATTGTGGTGTTTTTTTTTATTTGTTAACTGTCATAGTTAACTGGGGTTTGTCTTAATTGATTTAATTTCTTCATATGTACAAAAATATACTCATATAGGGTGTTTTGAGGAAGAGGATCTTGATAAAAGTGATAGAGAGTGAGCTATAAAAGTTAGGAAGACTTATCAAGTAATTAGATAACGTCCCAATTAATTTTTATATTATAAAGTTTTCTTTATCAAAATATTGTTTTCAATAATTTATAGATATTTGTATATTTCTATTACTTTAGTTACTTCTATTAATTAAATTGTTCTGCTTCTTGAAGTCATGATTTATATTTTTCATATTGATGAAAATTCTTTTATAAATTTTGGTGGTCCTATATTTGATAAAGCCAACTATGAAAATTTGTGAATAGTTTATGAGATATTAATTGTGAATTTTCATATTTAGAAGTATTGATGTTTTTATATGTTTCATGTGAGTTTGATATTAAAAAGAAAAATTATATTTTGAAAGTGATAATTTTTCCGTATGTTTGAAAGTGGATTTAGAAATGGACTGTATAAAGAACGCTGGTTGCTAACAGCAGTTCCGTTAGCCCTTAGTGCGCCATGGTCAATTACTAGCTAGATTGATTTTCATGACCTTTGTTATCACGTCTGTTATTCATAGGTCTCGTACTTGTGTCTATTTCGTGGCCTCAACAACGTCTGGTTACTTACTCTCATGGACTATGTGTCCACGTCTATTTCATGGTTTCGGCTGTGTTTGGTTATTTGCCCTCGTGGACTGTGTGTCCACATTTGTTAATTGTTCTGACAAGTGCCTATAAAAAATGAATTTGATTATTTAATGATTTTATATCCCATTGGTTTTTAATTAGTAATCTATTTATAATTACTCATTTTGTTTATCAGCTTCCTTGAAATCAAGTGATAATAATATTTGATATGATAATTTAATGGCTCAAGATTTTTATCTAAAAGTTATATAGAATCCTTTTATTTTGAATTTATTTAAATCTTCATGAAGATAGTTGTGTTTTTAATTTACATAATTGCTTTTAACTTTCCTTTTATTCATGTTTAATTATTTATTTTGGGACGTTATTCACTAAAAATAATTTTGGTCTCAGATAATGTAGCTGACACTAAACCACTTGTTGAACATTGAGAAGTTTATGAATAACTAAATGTGGAGGAGTTAATGATTAAACTTTCTCTTGATGTAAAGTTTTAATTATGAAATTTTATTTTATAAACTTTTTGTTAGGTGCTCCACATAGTCTGTGGTTAGATTATTTATGTTGTTATATATATATATATATATATATATTTTGTCTGCTGGCTAGAAGGAGCTCTGCTCCTAATTAACTTGATATTTTTAATTGAGATATTGTGATGTAGAATTTTTGGGAGATCCTATTTATAAAGAAGATTCTATCGAAATTTCTACAAAAACACTGAAACTTTTATTATAGGAGAACATTAGTAAAGGTGTTACAAATTTCAAGTCTAATTATGTTTTATAAATAAATATTAAATATTATATTAAGGTTCCCTTTATCATGGCTTAAGGGATGGATGATTATGCATACATCCCGTGCCAGTCACGACTAATTTTTAAGACGTGACAAGAAAAAAGAAATATTGCAATAAAATAGGGGTAGAATAGTAGTTTTAGAAAAATCTGTGGCAAGAGTGCAATTTCAAAAAATTCAAGGCTAACTTTGCAATTTTGTTAAAGATTAGGGGTAGAAATGTAATTTTAGGAAATTCAAGGCCCATATGCAATTTCTACAAAAGTGTAGGGGTCACAGTGAAATTTTGGAAAGTTAAGGGATCAAATTGCAATTTTTGGAAGCATATGTTGACTGGACTACTGACGTGGCAGGAATGACAATGTCAAAATATGGTTGGCTAACATCATGTTGATTGGACGCCTTAGTAATGATGTGGCAATGATGAATTTTGGATGCTGACATGGCACACTAGGACACGTGGCAGCTTATGAATGGATGACACATGGCATATGATGTGGTCATCTTCAACTCCGGCTATGGCTAAACCTAACTCGTTGGCAACATCAGTTTGGCTAAAAAATGCTTGAAAGATAGTGTTTTGAAAATAACATTGATCGCTCCTATTGTATACTTCGAAATCGCTCCTACAGCAATCATCGAACTCCAACTAAGTTTTCAAGCATTCTCTATCTTTGGGAACCCACTTTAATACTAAACTGGTATAAAACTCAAGAGAGAGAACTCTCACTTTAAGAAATACTAAAATTCAATTCTTCAATGATGAAATATAAGGAGTGAGGCCTTATTTATACTAATTCCTAGGGCCAAATTTCAAACACTAACATCAAAACTAAATAGGGGTTATACACAGTTTTTGAAAGTTATAAAAATTTATGAGGAATTATGTAATTAATGAAAGAGTTATAGAATTCATGATGAGGTTCGGGAGAGGCGTGGAATTAAGTTTCTAGAATTTCATGGAATTTTTCCATTTCATTAGATATGTTGTTCTATATATAACAGTAATATTGTAATTAACCATGCATAAATTTTCCATCCTGTTAGATGTATGTCTATTAAAATAATACCCAATAGTTTTTTTCAAAAAAAAAAAAACAAAGAAAAAGTAAACGAGAAAATGGGAGAAAAATATGCTTGGGTTTGAGATGACAGCCTTACAAGTTAGTTGCTTGGAACAAAGCCAATCTCCATGTTTCCACCTTCTCGTTATTGTCTTTGAATTGTCTCTCTAGTCTCGCCAATGTTTTTGCATAGCTTCCCCTTGGACGTCGAAGCTCCGATGGATCCACATAATAATAGATTGGATAAATCAGTCGACCTTCTTTCTTGTAGCACTCCAGAATCTTTGCAAGTTCTTCCAAGCAAAATCTCGAGCCAGCAAAGTTTTTGGAGAAAACTATGATTGCTACTCTGGATTCTCGTATGGCATGTAAAAGTGCAGGTCTGATTTCTTCTCCAGTTCTGATGCCTTCCTCGTCAATAAAGGCACGAATTCCTCTTTGGCGCATAGCTTCGTGGAGATTGCCAATGAAAACTAAGGAAGACGTCATAAGTCCATTTGTAAGTGATGTAAGAAGATCCTGCTTGCTGTGCCATGATAATCTCATCAGACTCACGAAGTTGCATGAAAATTAAATGGCAGAAGTGCAAAGCAAATTAAGAAGATCAAATCCCCCTGGAATGAAATCTTACGGAGTTGAGCGCATGATATTAGAGTAATGACTACAGATCAAGAAAATGACGCAAGCGTTGAATAAAGAGGGAAGGGGTCTTCCACGTACTGAATAAAATATGTAGGAAGTTGGGAAACGTGAATTTTATCTTTATCTAAATTTATTAATTGTAATATAAATGTGAATTTTTTTATTTAAATATAAACAAAATTAAATTTTTTTAATACATAATACGTTAATCACTATTCATTAATTTCAATAAAATGATTAGAAGTGTTTTATAATAAAAGAAGAGCGACTAGGAAAGTAGAAATGTCGGGACGTTAGGAGAAGGAATTAATTACATGCAATCTTATTAAAATGCTCTTCCTGTCATTTGTTTACTTAAAATGTATTTTTGTGTCATTTTTCATAACATTCATCTTGATAGTTTTTAAATAAAAAAAGTTACTCCGTTCGTTTTTATTTATAGGAGAAAGGGTCACTTTTAGTTTATTTTTTATATAAGTAAAATTACATTTTTTAATAAAAATTTATTATAATTTTTTTAAATTATTTCTCATAATTTCTTCAATCACTTTCATAAAAAATAATTAAATAAAAAATTTATATTAATTAATTTTTTAAACTATGTGATAATCCCTTCATCCCAAATTATAAGACACTTTTAGACAAAATCTCATATATCAATAAACTTCATTAAACACACTCAACAACCTTATATTTTTAAAATAAAAATATAAACTTTTAAAAATATTCATCATTTAATATATTAAAAAGAGAAGGGATGAAAATTAATTATAGAGAGAGAAAGGATAATATTAAAATTGGTGCATTTAATGAAACCTTAATCTACCTAAAGTATCTTATATGTTAGGATAAAAAAATTATTTAAAATGTGTTATACAATTTGAGATAGAGGGAGTATAATTTATTTTATAAATAAAAATGAAAGGAGTACGTACTCCATACCATTGACCGGAAAGCTTTTCAGGAGTTTCTTGTTAGTGGTATCATGAAGGATAAACTGTCATGCACTAATTCCTGCTTCCTCCTCCAATGGGAGGGTTAGATCGTAACGGTTTCATAAGGGAACCTGATGCGAAAGCTCCGCGAGGCTTCCTCACATGGAAGGAAATCATGGATACGTGCATTTCAACACACATACATGGGAAATGGATAGGCTGGGTCCACAAATCCTCATTTTTAAAAGTTTAGTTTATCTAATTTTGACCATTTTCTAAAGCCTTGTTCTTATTCAAATGGATTCAGGAGTTCTTTAATTTAATCACAAAAAGAAGAATAGGCGTGTAAACAACGTACCCCTAAAACTATCAACTTGAGTGCCTTGTGAAAATTAAAAATCTTTCCTTCACTATCAAATACAGCGTGACTTAAGCATTCTGTCTATGATTACCTACTTTACACAAGTTAAACAAGTGACTTTATATATCAAGTAAAAGATGTGGTATTAATAATAGTAGATAAAAAAGAATATACTCCAATTTCTATGAAAAACAAGAATTCCTTACATCTGGATCAAAAGATATAGTGAATTCTCCCTCATATAACTAATGCCTGTTTACAAAATTAAGAGGAAGCTACAATCTGTAATAGCATTAATTAATGAAACAGGGTGCATGAAAGAAGCTAACCAATCCTCAATATCTCAAGTTTTAACACAACTTATTGTTATAACCCCCAAATGGAAGCAAAAGCATTTTCACAAGCTAGAAATACACTACTACAAAATACCCCCTTACTTGACGGTTATTTTAGAAATTATTTGACAGTTTTTAACCGTCAAGTAATAAGGCGCTATATATTTATTTGACGGTTAAAAACCGTCAAATATTTTAAAGATTACTTGACGGTTATTTCAAAATAACTATCAAATAATCACTTAAACATTTACATATACTGCAGCAATATACTTGACGGTTATTTTAAATAACCGTTAAGTATTTAGTAATATTTGACGGTTATTTTGTAACAAGCGTCAAATATGCTTTCGCAAATTCTGTGTGCCAAATACTTGACGGTTATTTGAAATAACCGTCAAGTAAACTTATACTTGACGTTTCTTTCTAAATAACCGTCAAGTATTTATGATGTGTTTTTTTAAAAGCTGAAAGCAGCCCCCTACAAATACAAAGCAATCAAATATATATACCAGCCAGCCAACAATAAAAAACAATTGAATCATTATTTATATTGAAATTACAATCTAAATATCTTTAATTTATCTTATATCTACCTATACTCTAAACCCGATGTCATAAAAAAATCTATAACTTTACCTACTTTACAAGTTTAAATTTCAAAATTAATTGGCCTCAGACATAAAATTGACCAAAAAAATAAATGTGTATACCAAAACTAATTGGGCCTTACCACTGCTGCTATCCACATGTTAAACACAGCTTGAGCTACCTCTTCAAGGCTTTCCTTTATATGTGCAGCTGCATACTGAATACAGTAGGCATCCTCGAAGTACTGTATGCAAAGAGTTACAACAAATTCAAGTTAATAGCTATCTAACAAAAGTTGTTAAAATTTATAATTTAAGTATCATTAAATTTAATATATACTTTGTTAGGTAATGTGGTAGGGGCATGGGTGATAATATCCTTCAAGAATCTCATCAAGCAATAGCCACAGTCATTGCTCTGATATGTCTGGAGTGGACACTGTGCAAAAAAATCACATATCAATAAAATAATAGTTAAAAGGCCACGATTTGTTAATTAAAAACTCAGTCCATTAGGTTTACCTTAACTGTGACCCATGTCTCACAAGAGTCCAATACCCTTAAGCTAGGGGACAAGGTCTTGTTGGTCGCAGTTCGATACAAGACCACAGCTCTAAAAAGGAAATAAAGAATAAATGTTAGAAATTCAATATATATGGATATTAAAATAACAATTAATAAAAATTTAACTTACTTATTAAAAAGTTCTACCATATCTGGCCTATTGCTTGGTTCTCCGTTAAGAGGATCAAGATACCAAATTTTTTAAGCAACAGGGTTAACCACAATAAGCATCCAGTGCCCCCTAATAAGAAATAACAAGTGTTATCAAATAAGTAAATATAAAAAATATTTACTTGTACCAAAAGTAGCTAGAAAGTGGCTTACCCTTGACAGTAAGAAGCAAGAAGTAAAGTATCATTGCTTGCTCCCCTATCCTTAAATTGATTTGAAAGCTGCCTTGCTTGATCTTCAAGAGCTTCCTTTGTAATTCCATTATAGGCAGAGACATCGTGGGGATTAATCAGCTTGAATCTCGACTCAAGGCTGCCAGGAACCACAAATGAGGTATAAAGTTATCCAACAATAATTGATATAAAAAATTTATCCCAACAATCTATTTTGTCCTATAAATTCAATATAACTCAATCATATCTAATCAAGTTATCTAACAACAAAATTAATCACCATCATCACAACAAGGGAAGCAAATTTTCAACAAATTCATAAAATGCCCAATAGTAAATTAATTTTCATATAATTTTAAATTTAATTTCAGAACTAACAAAGAACTGAAAACAAAAGCCTATATACATTCAATCACAAATCGTAGTTCTAATGAACAAAAAATTCATATTCCAATTGTTAATTCCAATCAACTCCCTAATTACAATCAATTAACAACAATATCACAAGGAAGAAGGATAGGCCAACTTACTTAAGAGAGGCAGAGCACGAGGATGAAGAAGAAGAGCAGGGGAAGGAGGAAAGAAGACAACTCGCATTTTGCACTATTGAGAAGCAAGTAGGGGAATTTGAAGTCAGATTTACCCTAAACACTAAACCCAAAAATGAATTAAACAGATGAAGAAGAAATTAAACTTATATATGGAAGACGGAGAACGAACCCAAAACGCCAGAAATGAAGACTTGGATGAACGAACAACCCACAAACCCCAAAAAATGGAACCCACGAGCAAAACCCAAGAAGAATCGAGTCTAAATCTGTGTTTTTGGGCAGTTTTAGTGACGGAAAATGATTTCCGAGCACTCTAGGTGTATTTTCGAAAACGTTTGAGTTGCAGAAATGTGAAAATGAAAGGTTCTGGAGCGTAAATTTAAAAGGCAATACTTGAGGGTTATTTCATAATAACCATCAAGTATTTATTGCTTGACACTTGTTATTAAAAAACCATCAAATAAAACTCAGACATACTTGACGGTTATCAATAAACAAGCGTCAAGTAATTAATTTTTTTATTTTTCCTTTTAAACCATATATTTGACACTTTTTACAAATAACCGTCAAAAAGACAATACTTGATAGTTATTTCATAATAACCGTCAAGTATATATTACTTGACGCTTGTTATTAAACAACCGTCAAATAAAATGCAGACATACTTGACGGTTATTAGTAAACAAGCGTCAAGTAATTAATTTTTTTTATTTTTCCTTTTGAACCATATATTTGACACTTTTTTACAAATAACCGTCAAGTCCTCCAAAATATACTTGACGGTTATTGTAAAACAAGCGTCAAATATATTTATAAAAAAATCAAATCTGGGATGCATATATATTTGACGGTTATGCCAATATAACCATCAAATATATACTAAATACTTGACGGTTGTTTTGAAACAACCGTCAAGTATTTAGCGCCTTTTTTATTTGTCATTTTTCACTTATAACCGTCAAATATAAGCCGTCATATTTAGCTTATTCTGTTGTAGTGATATGAGATACTAAAATGCCACTAAACATTTACAACTTATAAATAAAAACAATAGAGCTATTCAATCCCTTTGCATATTATATGCAATACCTTCCTTTTAAAGAGGGCATGTGAAGGGTACTAAATAAAAACCATGAGAATACTTATAGATTCTTAATGTTAGAGGTTTTAAATTTCAAAGGTGAATATATGCATTGAACTAGCATTGCTTTTGCGGTATTCAAATTAGGTGTTCATGGAAGTCTCATGAAGATTTTTTGTTGAAATATTTATAAATATTTATAGATTTGTATTAATTAGCCCAAACATATTAATCATTATGATCTTGTATGGATCATAATAGGTGGACAACACAAGTGAGCCAATGGACAGAGGCCCAATCTACAACCTTGTAGCCGTTAGCTATTCCTTATCTCTCAACTGATGACTAGGTCAAAAGTAATGTGAGATAATTAATTCATTTATGTATTAAAGCAGTTATTGATCTGAAGTTTGATGAGGCTATTAGCTCCTTTTAATTTTACCTAAAATACTTTAGATTTGTTTATATTTGTTAAGTATTGGAAAAAGCAATATTTTGCTTCTTATGCTCCATGCTAATAGCCAGTTACTAGCTAGTGATCAAGTAAATGAGACAATGTACTTGTGATCATGCCACCTTAATAGAAAATTTTCTATTTGACATATTTATTCAATGATTCATATCCATTTTAATATGTTTAACTACAACTTGATTTGTCTCAAGCAACCTATTTTAATTGAATGTTTAGAAATCTAATGCACACTCCTAGTTTGATACATGTTTAAGGGGTGTAAGGTTGCTTAAGTTTTCACATCCTCAAAATTAACATTGAGAAGGACCATTTTAAAATTTGCATATAAAGAATTTTGTGTGCTTTCCCTATAAATGACAACTTTGAAGGTGCTAAAATATGCGTTGGCCTTTGATCTAGATTTTGCTTTATGTACCCCTTGGTAAATACTTGCAAAATTCTAGCAAGTAAATACTAAGATCATTTTGAAAAATTCTTGTATACTGAAAGGTACATAACACCTAATGTTGGTTGTTTAAAATTGATTCTCTTTTAAATTTGTGATTATTAGGATTTAGAATGTGCATCCTATGCATTCCATAATATAGAGAGGAGCTGTCTTGTAAAAAATTCAATGTATTAATAGACACTCATAGCTACCTCAATTTGGGATGCGGAATGTGGAATATATATATATATATGTCGCTTGTTGTAAAACATGTCATTAAGTTATATAGTTGAGGAAATTATTATTGGAGATGTATTTTGTTGTTTCCTCCAACTATGAGTACAATATTTTGTCTACCTTAAACTTCTCTTAAAATTTTTGTTAGAGAAGATTATACACACTCAGACTTGTCTAGTCCATATCTATGATGAATACATGCCTATGCATTTGTGTGACCAAAGGTCTACCCATGTGAGTTTTATTGATTTTTGATATAGTCTTGATTCAATGAGTCTGAGTTTTGTCCTTTTTTAAGGCCATTTGATGGTTTAAGGCCATTTTTGTTATTATGCTCAATTTTTTGTTTTAGAAACAATAAGATACTTTATATTATTTATTTCCCCATAGGATTTAATGATTCATATTTGTGCATCTTGTATCACTTGTTTTCTTTTAGGATTCAATGATTTTTTATTGTCTCTTTATTGAGTTTCAATCTTGGTTAGAGATGTTGCGGTGCTTTTTATCAGTTGTCTCCCTATAGAATTCAATGATTTGTGTTATAGCACCTTACATCACTTGTTTCCCTATACAATTAAGTAACTTTGTGTTGTCTCTTTAATGAGTTGTGGTCAGAAGATCTATTCTTTGTTCAGTTTAGTTAGATGCATTTATATCATTTGTATCCCCATAGAATTCAATGATTCTGCATGGTACGCCATACATGTCACTTGTTTTTTCATAGATCTTATTTTGTTATCTTACTGAACTATGTTTGGAATAAAAATTTTATATTTTATTCTATTCAGATTATGAGACATTATATCATTTGTTTCCCCATAAAATCCAGTGATTTTGTGAAGTTTTATTTTTTTTGAACTTTGTTTGTGGCTTGTTTATATAACTTGCTTAATAATCTAAGTGGGAGATTGTTGGAATATTTATAAATATTTATGAATTTGAATTAATTAATTAGCTCAAACAAATTGGTCTTTGTGATCTTGTGTAGACCATAAGAGGTGGACCACATAAGTGAGCCCAATGGGCAGAGGCCTAACTTACAACTTTATAGCCGTCAGTTATTCTTTATCTCTTAACTGAGTGGGTCAAGGATAATGTGAGATAATTAATTCATTAATTTATTAAAGAAGTTACCGATTTGGTCTATATAAATCAATCAATCGATAACCAAAATACAATACTTTTTTCACTCTCTCTATTATCTCTGAGCTCTTTACAAACTATAGAAATCTAGTGAGTTATATGTTTGTTTATATTTGAGGTAATCGAGGTACCACAATTAGTCATGGATTTTTCATGTTCGCATATCACTTTACTCGAATCTTATTTGATTTATATGAATTGATATATTAAAGTTAACATTTTTGTCATCCACTCATTCTTGACACTATTTCACACACTATTTCACACATAAGGTAAAAAAACTGCAAGTAGAGAATAATTAAATGAGTGTAAATCTGTTTCTAGACCTAACAATTGAGGGTGAATTCAATGAAAGGAGACTCAATATTCAAGAAAAGGAGCAATATGAAGAATATTTAATTTTCAAAGAATCAATAAGATGCAAAACACTTTCCAGTGGTTCTTAACATCATCCGACCAAGTCCTCACTCACACCGCTAATTGCTCCCTCATTAATGCCATCCATCATAGCTACTTGATTGTAGCATGGCTGTTGGGTTCTCTGATGGGATTAGCTTTCTCAAAACTTGTCACTCACAACTCCCTCATACCGCAGATCGCCATTGCTCCTCTGTCAAATCTGTCCCTCACTACCAATCGTTGCACAACACTCTAAACTCTTGTGGTTCTTTGAATCGTGTGAAAAAAGGAAGAAGAGAGGGTGGCTTTTTTTTTCAAATTTCTTTATTTTAAGACAAGTGCATTTTGTTCAAATGAGGACATTGTTAAATGAATAAAAAATTAAGTCTGGTCCTTCAAGTATATTTGGCCCCTGTGACCAATTTGTATTTTAACCAAGCCTTTTTGAACAATTTTCCCAATTAAAATATTTTTTAAAAATAAAGTAAATAATATAGATTTAGATCCTCAATTATATCATAAGCATAAGTCAAGCTTTTATATGCTAATCATTTGAGATATACCTGTATAAATTATATATAGATAGGATGAGAGAATATAAACTACATATCCACCTAGGAGGTATCACCACATGATTTAATCATACTCTAGTCATTTTACTAATTTTTTTTCTTTTTGGTTAGTTTCCAAGAAAATTGCTAAAGCCACTCATCATTTTGTCCACAGATGCATTATCCGTGTGTGTGTATGTATAAATTATATTTAGATTAGATAAGAGAATAGAAACTAGATATCCACCTAGGGAGTATCACCACGTGGCTTGATCATACTCTAGTCATATTACTAATTTTTGGTTTTTTGGTTAGTTTCCAAGAAAATTGAAAAGGAGACTTACCATTTGCCCACAGATGCATTATCAACACTATCAAACGAAAGACCAAGTTTACGAATCAAATTTTCATACATCAAATAATCCTAGTTAATTTTCTTGGAACTGTTACTTAAAAGAAGACGAAGAAGAAGAAGGAAACCAAGAGCCAATGAAACCTAAGCAAGAAAATCAAATTCCACTGGAATGAAATCTCACGGAGCTGAGTGCATATTTTTAGCAGAATTATTAAGGATGATGATGATGATGATGATGATAATGGAAGCGTTGAATTGAACAAAGCAAGAGAATATTTGAGGGGCCCGTTTCAGAGTGTTCCCATTTTTTTATTTTTTAAAATTATTTTACAACACAGTTTTTAAAATTATTTTTCAGAACAAAATAAAGAAAAATATTTGATTGTGTTAATTTAAAAATATTTTAGAATTAAAAAACAAGCCGATAATGATGGTTGCCAATGATTAATAATAATGTGTTATGATAGTGATAGTTCAAGGTGACAGTAATTTTTGAATAATCAAATGAAATGCATTTTGAAATTAAAAAAAAATAAAACAAAAACACTTTTAAGATGTTTTTATTTTAAAATAAATAAATGAAAATATTTTTGAAAGCAACTAAATTCAAAATAGTTATTCAGATGAGTTTTTTAAAAAACGATGGAACTGGAAATTACAAAGAAGGATGTTGAAATGTAATATAATAAGCAAAGGTCATGGGAAAGTGAATGAGGAAAAACATCACTAAGCGACATTGACTTCGACTCTTCTTTAACTTGTTTTAGTCTTTTTGTTTGGCTACCAAAAATGCAATTTCTCATTATTTGTAAAAATGAAAAACAAAGTTTAATTTTTGGCTTTTAATTGTAGCAAACTGATGCTCCCAACAACGTAAGACATATGGGTAACTATTATTTGAATACAGAATTATTGTGAGGAAAATTGAAGAATCAAAATTAATTTAAATTGCAATTTCAGGGATTGAGGATTATTAAAAGAATTTCCCTCATAAGTTGCGGGTTCATCCGTCATCGACTTCTGCTAGCCAGGTTTCAATACAGAGTTACTCTGTTTTCTTTTCTTTTTTTTCTTTTTACCCCTTCCCAATTCAAAGAATAAAAAATAAATTATCCATACTCGGCTTTATTCGTGCTTTTGCTTCCATTACCACGATCATTCCAAGTCAAAACGTTGCATTTCTAAGGATAAGTGTGAAAAATTAGATGATTTGAATTTTGTTACTTGACATCATGGTCTTGATGTTCCTTTTGTTTGTTTTTATCAATTCTTGTGCTGTATAAGTTTGATCGAGCTGGATAAGCAGAGGGTTGAATGCTCTTTGTTTTGCTTGAAATTCTCTCGCGCTCCTCATAACCTATTTTTACCACTAAGCAAAAGCCAATGAACATAAATTAGCATCCATACTAAGCCAAACAAATCATGATCTAATGGAGTCCTAATCCAACACATTCTTGATATTGCAAATCATAAACTACTTGCTATCATCACAACTAGCACATACAAATCTCAACAAATTCTAATTTGTTCATGATTACCGTACAAAGTGATATTTGATCGGTTTTCAGTTGTGGATTCCATCTCAGGTATCCAAGATGGCACTTGTTCTCTCGACTTTTTGAGCTTCCAGTGCCTTCCCTCTTTCCCATAGAAGCCTTCGCCGTGGATTCTAAGATGGCCAACACCTTGTACCACTCCTCTTGAAATCAATTTCAAAATCTTCTACTTACAACTAGTAGGATTTATTTCTCTACCTGTAACATGTCAGTCCCTTATCCATTGATTGAATTCTCTTGAAATTTCTTAATTTCAATGACAAATTGGAGAGGTAATCTTGGGAGGTTCTCATGGTGCTGCAGCTTCCCAGATACAACAATAAAGAAAAATCTTGGACAGCAAATCTTTCAAGGCTTTCAATTCTCTCTGCGTCTCTTTACCTAGCCTGGTGCTGGTGGAAGGTGAACGAACAGAGGGCTCAGCGTCTTCTGCTTCTATATCATTTGGAGATCGATCCATAGCATTTGAAAACACTGTAGACAAAGTGGAACTAGATATTTGTAGTAGTTCTTTAGCAATTCCATCATGGGACGCCATAGTACTTGGTGCATGAATGCTTAGTGTCACCGGAAAACTTCTGAGCTGACACTCGATTTGAGCTTTTGCTGAAGGATGCATAACTGAATGGTCTAGCACACATTACAAAATAGCAAGGGTCAGTAACTGTAGTACATTCAACAGTACTGTACAAAGGGGAAGGAACAAAAGTAGTCTCTTACTTGCCCATTTTGGTCTTTTTGAACTTGAAACCTGATTCATATAGTCCCCATGTTCTTCGCAACATGGGCTCCTTGAAAGTTTGTTGCCTTCACTGTATAGCTTTATATCTTTTTCTCTCAGTTTGGATGCAGTTACACATCCAGCTGGGGGCATAGAGTTGATTAAAGCTAATTGTTCCAAGTCGTCATTGAAGTGTTTCAATTCATCATTGGAGTTGTAAAAGTTATGGTATTTTGCTTTGGGCGATCAGGCTTTATGAACTGGATATTCTCCATCCTATTTTCGTACACGTGAACTCCAATGCACTTTATCTCTACTCTCTCCTTGAGCCTCCTAATTTCTTGCTAAACAGAAACCTGCACTTGATTCCATTCATCTGCTTTGGGGAGTTCAGCATAGAGAAGTATGTTCTGTAGACCACACAGAAATATGTGATCTTATTCTATTGTCAATATTGAAACCACTTCAGAAGAAAACCCTTTCCCAATGACATTAATTTGCACAGGCAAGCTAAATTTAGGTGGGCAATCCTTGTTACAAAAATCTCCAGAGAGAAGACACCACAATGGCAAGGAACTTCTTTTGGACCCAAAAGCACATTGAGTTTCCCTTGTTATAGTGACCAAACCATTCTGGGATACTTTCTCCTGGCAGAAAAAACTTCTTTTTCCAGGCTAGTGGAATGACTGTCAATTACATATAAAAAAAAAATCCACATTATAAAATAATATATAAGCAGCAAAAAAAGTACAGACAAAAGCAAGAAAGAGAGACCTGAAGCAATAATATGCTTGCAGACAACCAGTCTAACAATGTGCAATTTTTAGCAATGAATATTAATAGGTTTGGAGACATCCCTGCAACATGTTGAAGCTTCTTGCAATGATCTAGAAAAAGATTCGTCAGAAGTTGAAATTCTATGATGCATTCTGGAAAGGTGGTGAAATTACTGAAGCTTAGGTCCACAGACATCATATTGGGGAAACAAGAAAGACATAAAGCGATGAAGTCATCCAACATACTGCAATTTAAGAAACTAATAGTAGCCATATTTGAAGACATTACAACATTGCCGGAGCTAACTAGTTTCCCATCTTCCCAATTAGCCCCGAGTATCCAAAGTTTTGGCAACAAATGAATGCTAGTTGGAAGTCGCTTAAGATGTTTGCAATCCCTTAAGTTTAAGTACTGGAGTCCAATAAGACTGCAAATTGAAGATGGTAGTTCTTCTATGCTTGTCCAATTCAAAGAAAGTTTTCTCAACTTCTTCATCTTATCCATTATTTTTGGAAAACTTTGAAGACTTGAGCAACCAAAGAGTTCGATATATTCAAGAGATGCCCACTTAATACCATGAGGCAAGGTCTTGAGCTTGGTGCATCATTTAGCACTCAATCATCAAAGCTTATCCAATAATCAACCCAAATCATCAATTTCAATTAAGTTCTGATAATCATTAGCCACAATTCTGTTAAGTGTGGTACTCCAAATAAGTTAGGTACATGTTTTAAAAATTTACAATTACTAAAATTCAAGTAACTTAAACTCTCGAACTTCTGCAAAATGAAGATAAAATTTATTGTTAAAATGAAGCAAAGAAACAAGAAGTAATTTTAACAATACTTAAATACATACCATCTGAAGTGATTTCAGCAATAGACAACAACTCTAGACAGGTCGAGATAGAAATGTTTTACCGGATAAAAATTATCTGGTAAATACTTCTTCCATTCTTGAGCTCTTAAACTATTAGGGAGCTATTTAGGGCCTCTAGAAAAGCATGAATTTCTGATGATAAGTACTTTGAGGTTCTTCATCTTCTTCAACTCCTTTCCACCCCACTCATCTGTACTTCTTTACATTAGTCCAGAATTATGGCTTCAATTTTATCAGTTCCCTTTCAATATAAAAAACACAATAGATTTAAGTGGTATTCAAGTCTTAAGACAAGTGTTCCTGCCACTATTAACCTATATTAAAAAAATATTAAAGTAAAACTTCTCTCAGACCTTATTATTTAAACTCTTTTGAGAAAAGAATTAAGTTGCACAAAGAAAAATAGAACTATGCCAAAACTGTTCTTACTGTATCTTCTTGTAAAACATGAATAATTTCCTCATATAACCATAAGCTACTGGGATTACCCAGCTCTTTTGGTGATTCTTGTCCAACTATTTGTTTGCCCATATCTTGCACCAAATTATGCATTTCAATTGTACCAAAAGGACTGATTTTTATAAGAGATTTGTCAACCAACACTCCAACAGCATATTCTGGTTGAGCATCATGAGCACATGCCAAAATATTCATCACATCTTGCAATTGGTAACCTTTGGAGAAACAAGCCAAGTCAAGGAAAATTTCCTTCTCATCTTCCTCTCAAGCATCATAGCTTAATTTTAGGACTTCTAGAACTTCTTTATTAGGTATTTTTTTCATATCTATCTAATGCAGAACTCCATTCATCTATTCTTTTACCACATAAGTTAGAGCCTATCACTTCCAAAGCTAATGGATGGCCGCTCAAATAAATTATTGCATGATCTACAACACCTCTGTAACTTGAATGCACCTTCTCCTTTTTAAATGCCTTCCAACTAAACCACTGAAGTGCTTCCTCATCGTTTAATTCTTCAATATCATATACTCTCCCAATCCCATGACTTGCAAACAAATGTTTATTCCTAGTTGTAATGATGATTCTACTTCCAAAAACCAAACCATTCACACCTTCCAGCAAGTGCTTGTAACTGCTCCAATTTGACAACATCGTCAAGAATCAAAAGAACCTTCTTTTGATTGAGCCTATGTCTTAGTATTGAAATTCCCTCACTAACATCTCCTAAACTGATATCTTTCTCCTTTACTAATTTAGAAATTAATGTTTGTTAGAGATGTAGCAGGCCATTCTTATCAGAATTTTCCCTAACATTAGAAAGAAAACATGAACCATCAAAAGTATTAGCAACCGACTTATACACATCTCTTGAAATTGTAGGATTACCAATTCCACATATTCCTACCATGATAACTTTCTCTTTGGATGAAAGATCTAGAAGTGAGGTTATTTTCTGCACCCAAGACACAAGTTCAATAGGACAATTGGCAACATGTAAAGGGGTATAATTGATCTTACGAGAGACTTCATTAATGATCCTTCCAATAAACTCATATTCATATCCAATCCTGCCCAATATAATAACCTTCAGTCAAATTAAAATTTTTGGTTTCCACATTGCAGAACCAATCTTCAAAATTTAATAGAGGAATTAGTAACACATAGGAGAAAGTGTAATCCAGCTTTACTATCATATATTCATAAATAAAACACGTCTTCAAAATTTATGAGAGAAAAATCAATCCAAAAATTATCCTCATCCCCCCAACCCATGCAAGTTCGGGCAACTTCATGAGGATCCCGATAAGGGGAAAACAACAATAACAAGCTGATATGGTCAATTTCATAGGACTAAGAAAGATCAAGTTCGCAAACATGGTATTAACTCTTACCAGGTAGTGTACGCATGCCGTTGCCAACTTTACCAAATACTAGATATTAATATGGAAAGTCTCAATCAAAATTAAAAAAAAGAAGATATTAATATGAAAAGCACCTCCTAATTAATCGAAAGGAAAATAACAAGTGAAAGGGTGTTGAGCAAACCCGTATTTTAGATGCCAGCCTGACAAGTTGGCCGTTTTAGACAAGGCCAACCTCCATTTTTGAACCTTTCCCTCATCGTCCTTAAACCTTTCCCGGTGCTAAGCCAATGCTTCTCCAAAACTTCCTCTCAAATTTCGTACGTCTAAAGGATCCACGTCGTAGAAGACAGGACAAACCTCTTGACTCTCTCCCTTGAAGAAATCTAGGATCCACACAAGCTAATGGAGACAAAATGTTGAGAATGCGTAATTTTTGGACTAAATTACGATAGCAATTCTAGACTGTTGGATGGCTTGGAAAAGAGCTGGTGTGATTTCTTCCCCTCTTCTGAGGTCTTCATCGTCAATGAAGGCGTGAAATCCCCTTTGATGCAGGGCATTGTAGAGATTGCCAGTGAAACCTGAGCAAGTATCTTCGCCGCTAGAACTAAGAAACACGTCGTATGTCCATCTATAAGCGAGCCCGGAGGATGTTGCTCGCTGTGTCATGGCTGCTCTGTTCGTGATAAACCTGTAATTTGCAGGGGGAATTAGGAAAATGACAAAAGTCAACTAAGTGAAAAAGTGTCAACCTGTCGTCCTCTTGAAAAGTTACGTTTAGATTGAATGGAGATTCTGTTTTCAGTCTAGTCTTGCTCCGGGATGGGTTTCCCTTAGCCATGCACTCATTTTTAGAATAAGGTTTGAATCATTCAAATTTTTTAATTTAAACGATTTGAATTTAAAATATTTTTATTATATTTATTAAAATAAAAATTTATAAAACTTATAAAATAATTTTAATAATTTTTTTAATTTAATTTAAATTTAATTTAAAAGGTTCAATTTAATATTAAAATTTATATAATTAATTTGCATTGATATACTTTGCACAAAAAATTGTAAAAATAATAACAATTTTAATAAATTTTTTATTTTTTTATAAAAATTATAAAATTATTCAGATATACATCAATTATAAAAATTTTAATATTAAAAATTAAATTTAAATCAGATTAAAAATAAAAAATTTATTGAAATTATTTTATAATTTTTATAAATGTTTATTTTAATAAACATAATGTAAAAATATATATTAATATTTTAAATATGAACTGTCTAAATTAAAATTTGAATAATCCAGACAGTGTATGAGGACATAGAGTTTAAATATGAGATGACTAGGGAAACTCATTCTTCTTGTTCCAAACCCGATCTTGGACGCCGGTCAGAAAAAGACGACCTTGAACTGAAGAATTGAAAAGGGACCTTGACTCTTGGAGATGAAAATTCAATATAAAATGGGTTCTCTTTCTTATATCTCTGAAAAATTAGGTTGAAAAAATATATCTGTTGCCCCAAAAATAGATCTTGTCTTCCAAATTTTATTTTTAATTTTTATCCAAAATTTTAAGAAAGACTATAAAATATTGGTAAACAATTATAAATTAATTTTTTAATCTGAAGTCCTCAGTTAAGTCTATGGTTTAGGTTTAGCACTCAATTCTCGAAGGCCGAAGCTTATCCAACAATCCACCAGAATCAGCAATTTTAATTAAGTTCAAAAAATCATTGACTAGTGTAAAAAAAAAGCTTCTAAACATGGCTTCCTAAACCAGCGTTTACATATACAATTTAAAAATAGAGGTAATGATATTTTCATAATTAAATGGCATGTCTATTAGCTAGACTTTCTAAAATGATTCCCAAAGAACTGATCTTAAAAGTTGTGTCTAGAATATGTTCTTTTTTTCCACTTTGAAAAATTGCTTCTTCTTCTTTCTTTTTTTTTTTTTAATAGTTTCTAAATATATTGACTTTACACGGGTACTTAAAAGGAGTATGAGTAAGTGTTTAGGTATACTTTACAACCAAAAAAGTAAAGGAGTGTACACAAATGTTTATTTCAATTAGTCTAGAAAGGCTTTTATTCTTTTGAAAATTAAATTTTTAAACCAGTTGAATTAAATTTCTTCAATATATATTTGTAAAGTATTGAAATATTATTTTTAATTTTTTTTAAATTTAAATTTTCAATATATTTCCGTGACTGAATATGGAGTGTACAAATTGAGTTTTAACCTCTGGCTTAGCTTAAATAAGGGCTATCCAATAAAACATCCCCTAACCAGTGCCTAACCAAGGTTCAATTTTAAATTATATCTAGATAAGACATGTTAAAGCCTTACAATGTAATTTTACATATGCTAAGACCTTGAACCATTAACAAGTCAATGTAATTTTACACTAAATCATTTTTAAATGTAATTTAAACTGTTCAAACAAAAAATAATTAAATCAAGAATAAGATCATTTCCCCGCTTGCACTCCTCTTTCATCATCTTCATTTGCGTTTCGTTGAGAGCATCTGCAATGAATTTTACAAACAAGAATAAGAATTTGGAGAGATATAAACCAAAAGAGAAGATTCAAAACAAACACAAGCACTAATTTTACCTATATTCTTCTTCTTCTCCATCCATGATTTATACAAAACCAAGAGCATATACCTTTCTTGCTATCCGGTTTAGGACGATCAAAATTGTCAGACTGACCATCTTTCCTTTTGTTGGTCTTATCTAAACTGTTCTTATGAAAGTTGCCTTAGTTCTTGCCTTGCAATTGACCATCATCAGGGAAACCCTTACCATGATGTGGTTGCTCCGCTATACATATAATTGAACCAAAATAGATTATTGATCAAAGAATATAAACACATCAAATAAAGATTTTTATTAATGGTAAAATGAATTGTACTCTTGTCTTCTAACAAGCTATATGCAGGAGAACACACAAACATGATATATATTTTCTTATCAAGTAATGATCAAAATTTACTTTTATTAATAGTAGATGGCAAATTGCACTGTTTTCAAAAGTTAAAGGGAAGTATTAAAAAATTTTTTTATGATTTCAAATACTCTTAGATCTATAATTTAAAAGCTAATTTGCTCATTAAAAAAATCATATACCAGATTTTAAATATATAGATATCTACTATCTCAGTCTATTTATAGGTTGCGCACACAAGGATAGGAGTGAAGACCAAACTCTGTTGTCAGTAGTGCTCCACGAAGTCTCAACTCAATATTAAGTAGTAAAACAAGCATCCAAATTATTCACATCGAGTCCATAATCATTTGAGAATGGACAGAATTTAGCACAACTAAAATGGATCGCATAAACTACAATCGACTTTTCCGGTCCACATTTAACCCACATTGCTAAACTGATTAAAATTCAATAAGGGGAAGCCCACTATAAGAAATGACATATAAATATCAAGAGTAATGCATGAAGAAAAGAGGAAGCATAAAAAAACAACCTTGTTGACTCACAATGCTCTTTGTCAACCCTATATATTTCATTGAACTTGAATCCTGACAAGGGTCGTCATCTTCAAGCTCTTCCCTATCTTCTGGTTGTTCTACATTTCATCATGGACCATATTAAATCAAGGTATGTCTTAAAATGGAAAAGAATATGAATGGTAACACAAGAAATTCTTGCATAGATTTGCAACTCCACATCACCTGTGCTCTAACCAGAAAAATGGGATCAACTCACTTGAATATAATCTCAAGTGTCATTATTTATTTAATTTAAAATATAGTAATATTTCTTTTTTCAAAAATAGGGTACCTCTTTAATTTCCCAACCTTCGTGATAGCTTTGGCATCACAACACGCCCCTAGCTTACAGATTTTGCAACCATTTTACACACCCCCACCTGTCGTTGTCACTGATGATGAATGCAAATAATACCAGACACTAGATTTTTCAATCGATGGAAAGATATATCTTCTGATTCAATTGCGAACCCCCATGTCTTGCCAACTTATATTTTATATATTTTTCAAATTTATTGGAAGCATTTTATATTGCAGATTATACTTTCGGGGAAAATAAATTAGACTAAATTAAACAAATGCTCTGTATGTTATTTTTCCCAAAGCATAGGATGTGTCTATATGTAAGTATGCTGGTGATCAACTTTTGTTCTTTTTTAGTTGTCTGGAAGGGGAGGGATGCAGGGATTTCGGGGTGAGAGAGGGGCAGAACCGCAGAGGCGTAAAGAAATTGATTCCATCGGAGAAGAGAGAGGTTAGGCAATTAAAGAGATATACTTTCTCAGAAAAAATATTGCTATATTTTAAATTAAAATAATGATACATGAGATTATATTCAAGTGAGTAGGTGTTTTACGAATAAGGGCAACCCCCACAAACAATGCTTTAAAAGCCAGGTCATATGTTAAACTGAAAAGGATAGTGGGCATCGGTTTTTATAGTTTAATTGATTGAACCAATAACATAATAATTAAATAAAAAATAATATTAAATGTATATTTAAAATATATATAAGAAATAAATCAACGGAATGTGTTGTTAATAAAATAACACATGATCACAAATCAACAATATTATAAATTATAATTTTATAACCTGAATATAAGTAAATCTTGATTAAATTAAGTATGAGTAGGCTAAAAAATATCTACATTGTCACTTATAGTTGTCAACATTTTCAAGGCAAAGTAGTTCCAAATCATATTATATACATGTAAAGGATCTAAAAACGATTAGGAGGGTCTAATTTTAAAATTTTCCTAGTTTTTTCAAGCAAATAATTAGCCTTTTTTTATATTATATTTAGACCCATGTGATTTTCTAAACACCATTCCGGTTTTTGATTCAACTCAAGTTTCCAATTCAATAATAGCTCAACTTCAATCCAACCCAACTCAACTATGAAAACAGCTTTTTGATCCAAATTGAACTGTTAACGACTTTGGTTGATGGTTCAACCAGTCTCACCATCCAGTCAAGTCTAGTTCTTAAAACAATCGCTCTAAATCTATGCAAGAATTGCTCATGATAACACAAAAAGAAAGAGGACGGGAAAAATTACCTATAATGATCTCATCAGTTGATTCTGTAGATTTTGAAAGACGTTCAAAACAAAGGTGACAAGCAACTTCTTCAACAATATGCGGGATAACATCAATTTCTTCCCTGCTCAATTAAAAGTATCCTTTGTTAGGCACAAAGTAAATACGTCAAAGCTTAAATACAATATTCTTTTTCATTTCATTTACTTAAAGATAACATGTTATGTTATCAAACCATGACATATTTGACAGGAAGGTCTGTCCACAAAAAGTAAAACAACTCAATTTACATCCAATTTCAAATACTTAAAGTCAATTCTTCCTTCTTCTTTTTTGGTTTTTGTTTTCTGTTCTTTCTTCAATAAAATGATTTTTTTTTTTGCCAAAATCAATAAAATAAGTTAAGGAAGTGGTTTATTGTTAAACTCTAGATATTCATACCTTTTCCAACAAATTTTTCCTGAGTTATGTAATCTTGTTGATACACAATTGTATATATTTTGAGTACTCAAGATGGAAAAATGTGCACTTTGTTTTAGATTGCACATCATTGCTTAATTGTGCATATTTTAACCTTTGCCTAGCCTTATTATCTGGTTTCTTATAGATTTCACTTTCTTTTAGAGATGTTTTGGGTAGAAGAATTAACTCATATTCAAGCAAGTTGGACATGCCTAAGAAGCATATTAGAAAATGGAACAAAAGCATATACAAGACACCAAGCCATGGTTGAAGAATTGTAGACAGAAGCATCCTAGGCACAGAAAACTTGGCCTAGCCATGGCAAACTTAATGAAATGCATAGTAAGCAAATATTTTGATGAATTAGTGAATGTTATCCATTCACTTTGGCTATTTAATGGTATTTGTGTTTATCCATGTCTTCATGCTTTCTTATTGATTGGCTATCAATTTGAACAGATTTGGTTTTCTAATAGACTCTATAGATAGAAAAATTGGAATAAACCTTCATCTGGGTCGTATGAGAACTTTAAGCATATATATATATATATATATATGTTCAATGTTGAATAGATGATTTTCTAGAGAGAGAGAGAGATGCACTCTATAGCCACATAGAGTCAAAATAGGTTTGCTCTTTCATTATGCTAATTAATGAATATTGCAGAACATTGGGGCTTAAATTAATTAGATAGCATCTATGACATCATTTAGAGATGGTTAGAGAAAGAATTGAACTCTATACTAACATAAATCCCATTAAAATCAAGGGTTGGAAATTCATATTCTATGAAATAAATTATATAGCAACAACAATAATCATATGTTGTCTCTCTGGCTAGTTTTAGAATTAAAATATAACCACTAACATCTAATTAAGTTTATTAATGTAAGTGTACGTATTTAATATTTTTCTTGCACTCGTTATTTTACTGCTCAAATAGTTTATACTTTTCTTGTCACCATCTTACTTGTCACAACCTTGTTCTGATTTCAAAGAAAGAAGTAGAGACATACGTACCCTTTTTCTAAGCTCCAACTGAGCAACTGAGCTGCTTCAGACAAAGCCAACTTCCACTTCTTCACCTTTTCCATGTTATCCTTTAATCTATCTTCATGCTCGGCCATTGCCAATTCAAATCTTCCTGTTTGACGTCCTACCATCGAAGGGTCTACATTGTAGAAAACGGGAAAAACCAATTTGCCTTTTGTTTTCATACAGTCGAGGATCATAACAAGTGCGTCAAGACACCATACAGAATATGCATAGAATTCAGAGAATACAATAATTGAAATCCTTGACTCTTCAATTGCTCTAAGAGCTGTTGGGTCCAAATCTTCACTCCATCCAAAGCTCCCAACATCTTTAAAAGCATTGATATTGTTCTCACATAAAGCATTATATAGATCATCCACGAAAATGTCAGAATTGATACAGGCTTCTTCAAAACTCAGGATCAATACATCATGTCCCGGTCCTTGCACAAAAGAAGATGATATTATAGCCACTACTGTCATTCTTGATAGAAATATGTTATGTAATTAACTAGATTATTCAGTTGACACATTTTCCTAAACAATTAGTTTGCAGTCGTGTTATGGTTGCTGATATACTACATTCGTCAGAATATATTAGTTTTTGCTATGATTTTTCCTTGAAATGTGAATCAAAGTAATCTTTTTATTTCTATGTGGCCAAAAAATCTTTTTATTTGTAGGAGCTAAAAATAATTAGCATGTGCATTTTGTGTTGTGCTCTTGTTTGACTTGAATGGTAATTAAAACAGCTAATATAACATAATCTTAAACTACAATATTTGCAAGCTAATCATGTATTAAACTACAAGAGACATAAACCAAGAAAACAAATGTTGCCAGAGTTTGAATTCAAATAGGAAATAAGAAGGACCCAAAAAAATACCTTGATGACCCCTGATGCTCTCTGTTAAGTCTGTGGATTTCATTGAATTTAAATCCCAATAAATACCATCTTCGAGCTCTAATCTATCTCCTGGTTGTTCTACGGTTCACCAGTGGGGCAATAAATCGATCAAGGTATGTTTTAACATGGCAAAGTATCTGAATGTTAAAACAAAAAGAAAAAGGATGATGGAAAAAATACCTCGATGACCCATAGTATTCCCAGTTGACTCTACTGATTTTGTTAAATGTTCTAGGCGAAGGTGACGAGAAACAACTTCAACAATGCGTGGGATAATGCCATCTATGTCCCTGTATTTGCTCAATTGCAAGCATCCATTAATAAGCGCAAAGTAAACAAGTTACAATTTGAATACAATATTCCTTTTCTTTCACTTAAAGGTAACCTGTGTTACTAAACCATGACACATTTAATGGGATGGTGTATCCATAAAAAAGTAAAACACACAATTTACTTACAGCTTAAGTGATTGAAATCAATTATTGTCTTTTCCTTTCTTAAATAAAAGGAGTTAATTAAGAATGTGATTTATGCAGTTATGAGAAACGCCAAAGAAACTCTTTTTTGGTTTCAAAGAAAGTAGAGACATACATTTCTGCTGTTATGCTCCAACCACGCAAGTGAGCTGCTTCAGACAAAGCCAACTTCCACTTTTGCCCCTTTTCCATGCTTTCATGATCGTCCATTGCTAATCCAAAACTTCCTGATTGATGTCTTACATCTGAAGGGTCTACATGGTAGAAAATTGGGAAAACCAATTTGCCCTTTGTTTTCATACAATCAATGATCATAGCAAGTGTGTCAAGACACCACGTGTAATAAGCATAGAATTCAGAGAATACGATAATTGAAATCCTTGACTCCTCAATTGCCTGGACCACTGTTGGGCAAATATCTTCTACCCATCCCAAGTCTTTAACTCGTTTGAAAACATTAATCTTGCTCCCATACAAAGCTCTACATAACATGCCCGTGAAAGAGTCGAAATGGCTGTCTTGATCAACACTCATAAATACATCATATTTTGATCCTTGTGCAAAAAAAGATGATATTATTATAGCCATTAATTACTTGCTAATTTTAACAGTAAAAGCACACATTCTACCAGCAATAAATAGATGCAATAGGCTTATGATCATGTCAAAGCTTCAAAATATTATAATCAAGGTATAAGGGTATGAACAAATAACATGCATATATTCATGGAACTAACGCGTTATACAACTTAAGTTTATTGAATAAATAGATAAATTGACTGGCATCTTACTAGTCAACGCTTATCACTATTGCTGGTCAAGTTATTCCATTTTTTATACAAAAAAATGGTTTTTAGAAGAGCTATTCCATGCCTTGCTAGAAAGATATGGTGTAACTAGCTATAGTATTCATTTTATACTTTTATCTAAACGTGATGAAATTTAGACTAAAGTCACATAATATTTCTGCCCCATTATTTGTGGGAATATATTAGTTTTTCTTGCTTATTAGAGTAAAAGGAAAATTAATATTTGCATTTTTCATTTATTACAGCTGGACTTGGACATCAATTTATAACAGTAAAAAATATAGCATATTAACCTACAATATTAGCACAATAATCATGTACGTGTTAAAGTACAAGAGACATGCACCAAGAAAACAAATATTGCTAAAGTATTATCGGTATTGAACACAGAATAGCAAATAATGCACAGCAGAACATGTACAATAGAGTAAACTACAGAATATAAATGGTAAAAAAAAAAATCATAAAGAAATAAGGACAATATATATACCTGGTCTCAAAAAGCTGATATTGTTAAACTTAATGTCTTGTTTGCATACTGCAGCCCCTAAATAAATTTTTGGAACAAGTTCCAGTCCGGGTGTAGAATTATTGATGAAAATCTCCACATAATTCCAGGCATTCCTCTTAGATTGGGAGAGTTTCAGATCAGCCTTGCTAATAATGCTGTATAGATCAAACATATATAAATGATTAACCTTTGATGTTGAGAACCACTGATCAGAAGGAAATTCTTGGCTATCACCATTTATCAACACGGAGATATTAAGGTAGAAGAGAGAATCTAGGAGGTCTTTAACAAGAATACATATCAGAATCATTGGGAACTCTTCACGAATCCAAAATGACAGAGGGGGATTGTGGCTAACTGTGTCGAGAAATTCTGGGAACTCTTTTTCTGGAAAAACATATTTTAGTTTTCCTTGTTTATGGTAGACTTCCTGCCAATATATTACAGAAAAAATGATAAATGATACATAGGTAACAAAATAACATAATTAAGTAAAGAAACGAAGAGAGACCTGATCCAATACTCTGCCTTTAGAAATCGTAGTCAATAATGCGCAATTTATGGCGCTAAATTTTTCTAGGCTTGGCGGCATCCCTAAAATATGTTGAAGCCGCTTGCAATTATCAACGAAAAGATATTTCATACAGTAACATTCTTCCATGCATGCAGGAAGAGTTGTGAATTCTCCACCACTTGATCCAACTGTATCAAATTTAGGAAGTAAGAAAGACATAGTGCAAGAGTCATTTGACAAGTTGCAATTTGAAAAATAAAAATATTCCATTTTTGAAGACTCATTCCTGCAGTCTATACTTGCTTCTTCTCCATCTTCACATATCTTCAAATATCTCATCCCTTTACAAAAATTTGTGCTTAGTGACCAAAGGTTTGGCAGCATGAAAATGCTAGCTGGTAGTTGCTTAAGATGATGACACTCCTCCATGTTTAACATTCCGAGCCCAATGAGAATGCAAATTGAAGATGGTAACTCTACAATGGCCGTCCTATCCAATTCAAGTGTTCTCATCTTTGTCATCTTCACCAATATTTTGGGGAAATATTGTACACTTGAACATCCATACAAGTTGAGATGTTCAAGTGATGCCATGCTAAGGCCACGTGGCAAAATCTTCAAGTTTTTGCATCGCATGGCACTCAATCTTTCAAGTTTGTTTAAATATCCAACTGAATCATGAATTTCAAATAAGTTTGTACAATCATCAAAACACAATTCTGTTAAACTAGAAGCTCCTGATAAATCTGGTATTCCTCGTAAGAATTTACAACTTTTAAAATTCATCTCTCTTAAACTCTCGAACTTCTGCAAAACATCAATAAACATTTATTTTTTAAAATTACAAAAAAAAAAAGCAAAAACATAGTTCTAATAACTATACTTACCTTATCAAATGGTTGGAGCATCTCAACATAACTATAAGACAAGTTGAGATAGACAAGTTCTATTGGACAAAAATCAAGTGGTAAAAATCTAAAGGGATACTTTTTCCACTCCAGCCACCTTAAACTATTGGGAGATATGTGGGGCCTTTAGAAAAGCATGCATTTTTTATCACAAGCATTTTGAGATTCTTCATCTTCACAAATGCCTCTCCACTCCATTGTACTTCTTTACCTTGAGGTAAGTGTAGAACTATGGCCTCAACTTTATTAGTTCCCTTTCAAAATGAAAAGCACAAGTTAAATTTTGAACTTTGGATATGCATCAATAATGATTAAAGTTTTGAAAGACAAAATGCATGTTGTTGGTCTTACTGTGTCATGTTGTAAGACTTGAAGAATGTCTCGATAGAACCATAACCTGCTACATTCACCAGGCTCATCTTGTGATTCTGGACGAACAATCTCTTTACCCATATCTCCTATCAAGTCATGTATTATCACACAATCTCCTTCAATCTTTATGAGAGATTTATCAATGAGCACTTTGATAGCATATTCTGGTTGGATTTCATGAAGGCATAGCACCATGACCTTGACATCATCTAATTTCTTACCATTGAAGAAACAAGCCAAGTCGAGGAAAACTTTTTTTTTCAAACTCTCCTAAAGCATCATAGCTTAATTGGACAGCTTCCAAAACTCTTTCATCTGGTATTGCTTTAAAATGATCCAAGGCAAAACTCCATTGATCAACTCCTTTACCACATAAATTAGAGCTGATAACTTCTATAGCTAATGGGAACCCACAAGAATAAAGTATTGCACGATTGGAAACCTCTATAAAGTCAGACTCCACATTCTCCTTTTTAAAAGCATGCCAACTAAGCAATTGAAGAGATTCCTCTACATTTAACTTCCTAACATCATAAATGCCTTTAACATGAGTATGACTTACTAACAATTGTTTATTCCTTGTCGTGATGACAATTCTACTTCCAAGACCAAACCAATCACAAGTTCCAGCTAGTGCTTCTAACTGTACTGATTCATCAACATCATCAAGAATCAAAAGAATTTTCTTCCGACTAAGCCTACATTTTATTATTGGTATTCCTTCATGAAAATCATCCAATTTAAGATCCTTTTCCATGACTAATTTACGAAGTAATGTCTCTTGCAAATGTGCCAAACCATTTGGCATTCGGGACTCTTTTCTAATATTAGAAAGAAAGCATAAGCCTTCAAAATGATCAGCTATCGAATTATACAATGCTCTTGCAATTGTTGATTTACCTATTCCACCAGTCTCCCAAATCCCTACCATTTTAGTATCCTCAATAGACCAAAGCTCTAAAAGTGAGATCATTTCTTTCACACGAGGCACAAGTCCAACTGGATAATGAGTTATGTGTAAGGGATCATGATTAATCCTAGTAGAGACTTCACTAATGATCTTTGTAATACATTCTTGTTCTTTTGCAATCCTGACCAATTCATAAAAAATTCACTGAGTCAAATAAATAAATAATCATGCTCCAATTTGAGAAATAAAAACTTTGCCAGCTTCCCTTTTCCTACTAACAGAAAAAGTTTCTTTCCTCGTTTCAATGATTAAACGATAGGAAGTGTTTTGAAATTATTAAAAGTTCTAAATACTATAATATCAAACCCGAACCCAATTATCAAAAATTTTAATTTTATCTGATAAGTGACGGACACATGTAAGTATGATTATAGGCAAGTATGACTATCAAAATAATCACACAAATTAATAGATTTCTAGTTAATTGAATAGCACCTCTGCATATTGTGGGAGGTATATGGAGCATGTGCAATTATGTTACTGTTTTCATTATCAAAAAAGCATGTTTTGTGAGGGCTACGTATATTGTAAACGCGAAAAAAATGGAACCAAACTGTCTAAGTCTTCATTATCTTGAATTTATAGTCAATGTATGTGGACTTTATATGATACTGATGTTGTAATTAACCATGCATAATTTTTCCAAATTCTGGCTCGTGCTGAGCCAGTTGCTTACAAATTGCAACTTCCTACTTAGGCTAGACTTCATCCTGTGTTCCATGTTTCCTCGTTTAAAGAAAATGATATGGTGATCCCACACTCAGTTTCATGCATTTCCATTATCAACTGATGTACAAGGACCAGTAGTTCAACCTCACTCTGTCATGGATGATCGTCGTGTTGAGCTTCGTCATACTAGGGTGAATCAGATTTTAATTGAGTGGAATGGTTGTGACCAAGTCTACTTGGGAAAATTTGGATCAGTTTACGAGTCAATATCCTACTTTTGACCTAGAAGACAAGGTCAATTTTAATGGAAGCGGTATTGTTATAAATGGGCCTAAAAAGGGAGCTAATATGGAAGCCCAAGTTGCTGAAGATCCAAATCAAAAAGAGGCTAACAATGATGAGCTGGCACCAAATCGGAAGAGGAGCCATCAGATGCAATTATGCATCCAAGCACTTGGAAGTTGAGAGAAAAAGTTGGTTAAAAAGGTGGTGGTATATTGGTTATATTTCTGCGTACCTTTTGCTGCAATTTCTGACGATTCTTCCTAATCCTGGCATCCGTCTCTCTAACAATTATTCTGTGCTTTTTCCTTTTTGATGTTTTCTTCCATAGTATATTGGTTATGTTTCTGCGTACCTTTTGCTGTAGATTACCAATTTTAGCTTGAATTTTATCTGTAATTTTGATGAACCAGAACTTACTATTGTGTTCAATAGTACAGAGAATCACTATATTAATTGTACTATATAAGATAGTTATTGTAATTATTTCTATTCTGTTAGATGTGCGTCTTAACAAAAATAATACCCAAAAGGTTTAAAAAAAAAATAACAAGAAAAATGAGAGAGAACGAGAGAGAAATGTACTTGGGTTTGAGATGACAGCCTTCGAAATCTGCTGCTTGGGACAAAGCCAACCTCCATTTTTCCACCTTCTGATCGCTATTGTCTTTGAATCGTTTCTCGAGTCTCGCAATTGCTTCTGCGTAGCTTCCTCTTGGACGTCGAAGCTCCGGCGGATCCACGTAATAAAAGACTGGATATATCAGCCGACCTTCGTCCTTGAAGCACTCTAGAATCTTTGCAAGTTCTTCCAAGCAAAAGGTTGAGTTTGCATAGTTTTTTGAGAATACTATGATTGCCACTCTGGGTTCTTGTATGGCTTTGAAAAGTGCTGGTGTGATGTCTTCTCCAGTTCTGATGCCTTCATCATCAATAAAGGCATGAATTCCACTTTGGCGCAGAGCTTCGCGGAGATAGCCAATGAAACCTAAGCGAGTATCTTCACCGTGAAAACTAAGAAATACGTCATAAGTCCATTTGTAAGTGATGGAAGAAGATCCTGCTTGTTGTGCCATTATAATCTTATCAGACTCGCAGAGCTGAATGAAAATGGCAGAAGCGCAGAGCAAAGCAAGAAGATGAAATCCCACTGGAAAGAAATCTCACGGAGCTGAGCGCATGATCTTAGCGGAATGATTAGAGATCAAATTCAGATCAATATAATAAGCAAAAGTCATGTGAATATGTGACCACGAAGCTTCCACCATATTTGAATATATATATATATTTATATACATAGGAAGGTGCGAAACGCGTAAGGGGGAAATTTGTCCGTGGCTCTAAATTCAAAGTCATAGGAGATTTATATAATGAAACTGCATGTGAAAAGCTTTGTTAAATCAATAGACATAATTGACTTTTCATTTTTATTATTATATATCAAACATGATAACCCCAAAAAATAACAGAGGAGGAAATATTTAGATGTTTTTTACATAATTTTCTTTCAGAAATATTTTAAAGAAATTTAATTAATTTTCATAAAATAGAAAAAAATTAAGTTATAAACAATTCGGCACATTATATTTCTCAATTAAAGTCATTGCATATCCACTCAACAATCAGCAGGTAGCACTCATAATAGTAACTTAGCATATAAGCTACAAAGAAAGTAGAAATTTTTAGGTGCAAGTCACTAATGCTCTCTCCACTAAAAATACAAGTCACATTATTTTAATTCTACTTGGAAACCATAATTTATAATATTTTAGTGTTTATATTTTTTTAAGGAAAAAAAACACTGCATGCCCCTTACAGTGTCCCCCTTAATGGATCTTTTTAAGGAAAAAGCACCTATGCATATCAAAATTGGCTTGTTTGATTTCCTCATTTGAAACAATAGCACTTTTCCAAATATTCTCATCGTTCGAAAGCTCAGGAAATTTAGTCACAGTATTTACCAGTGGAAGGACCCTGTGAATCAGATCCGAACAGATTAACAAAAAAGTTCACTGCTAATCGCTTAAGTTCATCCTCCTCAATCCACAAGTCGTCGCCATTTTGCAAGGCTTCAACTCTGTTTTTCCTCCTCCTACTCTAATCCACTCTGAGAAACCCAATTTTCTAGAGATGGTTTCAGCTTTGGGGCCACTAATTTCCAAAAGAACTAGCAGACCCATATTCTTCCCCTTCAGCAACTCTTCAATTCTGAGGGGAAAGTTTTCGAGGCGGCAGTTCCATACAATAACTTCCATAAACATGAACGAGATATAGATAGAAAGACACCTGAAAAAAGTATCAGTTCGATGTCCCCGAGGAGATTGCGAGTACCCTCTATCTTTTTCCTCTGACTCCATCTCTAAGAACTAATCTTGCATATCTCCAAGATCCCCCTCATTCACAAAATCAATTGAGGCATTGATTTCTTGATCTAATGAGTCACAAGAATGAGGGAGAGCTTCAGGTAGTGGTGCATTCATCAACACTTCTGGGGATTCAGCGCTAGGGTTAATTCCCGAAGGCTGAGGAGAGTTTGATCAAGGTAGAGACTACAGAGGTACTCGTTTTACTTGCTTCAAATTCTTCTTGGCCCAAAAGAAGTGGGCGTCTCTGACTAATATTTTCCAACACCACTTGGTCAATTCTCGCTGCCATTTTTCGTTTCAGGATAGGTGACAGGATTTTTGGTCTAGTATCTTGACTTCTTTTTAAGCCCACTGTTCTTTTTTCCTTACTTGGTACAACTTTGGCTCAGTTATAAGTAAATTCCAATGCATGACAATATATAGTTATATAATATTGGGTTAAATGATAATTTATATAATAATTCTAAATTTTAAATTCAATAATTTTTTAATCAATATTTTATTTATTTATTTTAATTTAATAATAAATGAAGAGTGGTGGCTTAAAAAAACTTACGCTGATTGCTTATCTCAAGTCTAGAGTTTAAATCCTATTTGAGTTAAATATTGATTATATTTTGTATTAATTTTGAAAAACTATCAAAGTGCCTCTATTCTTGATGTAACTCAAAAAATAATAATAATAATAATAATAATCTGGGGAGTTTTTTGGTACTTGTCTCAGCAATTTGACCTCAATACTGCCAAAAAAATTATTTACCCATACATTATACTTTCAAAAATATTTCCTTAGATGCTCTAAATTTGAGACTTGATTTATATCAGATTGAGATTCAAATTTTTTTTTTAAATATGAAAGTACAGAACTTGGCCTCAATCAAGCCAAATTCTGTACTCATAATTAAAAAAAAAATAAAAGTATATGCCTAACTTAGGATGGCCTACCGTGTCAATTCTCAAGTATCCCTCTCCCAATTTCTACTTCCTATCTCCCTCTTTGTGTGCCTGAGTCATATATTGGTGTGTTGTATATATTATGTGGAGGAATGGTTTTTTTTTGGAAAAATTACAATCAGATCTCATACAGAAAAATTAATTATTGTAAGATTTATTTACAACTGAACTAAACTGCATCAACCAATGCTGTTTAGTTCAATTATCAATGAATCTTATGATAATTAATTTTTTTATGTAAAACTTTAATGTAATTCTCCATTTTTTTTCTTCAACATATAAGTGGCTGTTTTTTTTCTTCTTCTTTTCGACCAAAGAGGCTATTTGTTATATATAATATAAATAATATAATAAATTTACAATTGTAATTATCTATATGAAAAAATATGAAATACCTTAAAGAAGATATAACATTTAAAATGAAAATCTTTGTATATAATGATAATACACAAATATATGGGTTTGTCTTCAATGTATAAGAACTAACTGATTAAAAACAAATCGTACATATTTCACTTGAGTAATTCAATTTAATTTTTTAAATTTTTTATAATATTTATAAATTGACTATTTAAATATATTGTGGAAAATCTAGATTTAATATTAATTCTGTAATAATTTTAAAACATTGCAATTTAATGAGTACATATTTAACAAGTACTTTTTAAAACATTACAATTTAAAATTTTTAAATTTGGACTGTTTAGGATAAATTTGGATAATCAATTTATAAAAAGAAAAAACATAATTTTGGATTTCTATATTTTACTTGAATTTTACTATAAATTCATACACTTTTTTTGGTTTTCTAGATTCCTGTATTTTTATTTTTTGATGTTTTAGATCCTTTCATGATTAGTGTTATAAAAACTTAAAACATCAAAAAATAAAAGTGTAGAAATTTAGAAAATTAAAAAAAGTACAGGAACTTATAGCAAAACTCGAGCAAGGTGTAAGGACCTAAAGTTCTATTTTTTCTCATAAAAATTATTAAAAATTTTACTATTAAATTGAACTATTCAAATTAAATTCATATTATCCAAGTTAAAAATTTAATCTGAATAGTCCAATTTAATGTTAAAATTTTTAATAATTTTCATAAATTGATTATCCAAATTTATCCTAAATGGTCCATATTTAAAAATTTAAAATTGTAATTTTTTTAAAAAGTACTCGTTAAATATGTACTTTTAAATATGTATTCATTAAATTGTAATTTTTTAAAATTATTACAAAATTAATATTAAATCTATACTTTCTACAATACATTTATAGTCAATTTATAAATATTATAAAAAATTTAAAATTAAATTGAACTACTCAAATTAAATATGTACAATCCTTTTTTTTTTAATCAGTCAGTTGCTACACACTGAAAACAAAGCCATGTATTTGTATGTTATTATTATATACAAAAATTTTTATTTTAAATGTTATATCTTCTTTAAGGCGTTTCATATTTTTTCATATAGATAATTGCAATTATAAATTTATTATATTATTTATACTATGTACAAGAAACACCCACTTATACGTTGAAGAAAAAAAATCACGCCACCACATGTTATATACAACACACTAAAATAGATGACTCGCGCGCACAAAGAGGGCGAGAGGAAGCAAGAAGTAGGAGAAGGATACTTGAAAATTGGGATGATAGGCTATCCTGTGCTAGGCATAGACTTTTTTTTTTTTTTAATTATGAGTACATAACTTGGCTTGATTGAGGCCAAATTCTGTACTTCCATATTTAAAAAAAAAAAAAAGAATTTCAATCTGATATAAACTGAGTCTCAAATTTATAGCATCCAAGAAAATATTTTTGAAAGTATAATATATGGATAAATATATATATATATTGCAATATTGAGGTTAAATTGCCAAATTTCCCCAATCCTGCTCGTGTTCAAAAGCCCCTTCTCCTTCGTTCAAATGGTAGAGATAGCGAAAGAGAGAGCTTGAGAAGCTTCGGATTGCATTCTTCTACCTCCTTCTTCACTCTCCATCCATTTGCCAGTGATCTTTGGTTCACCTATTGTTGCATTCACATAGACATTCAGATCTACTATCAACTCTTTCTCCTCCTTGTTCATGTAATAGAGTCAAAGCTCTTCCCCTTTTCTTCTTCGGCATCGTTCATGTGCTGATATGTAACTATCATTACTGCTCTTTGGTTTGTAGAAATGCTTGAAAGAAGAATATGATGGAATGAATGTTGTTAAATTTTCATATTATAGCTTGGGGAAATATAAGTAATTACTAGCTTGAGCCATTGATTGGAATCTTAAAATACAAAAATAGGGGAAAGGATTAAATAGAATTCTTGTTATGGTACTTTATTAAGTTTGAAGAAATCATAGGAAGAGTAATGTGGCTTATTATAATTTATGATTGAGGATGGACTATAAGAAAGTATAAGGATGAACTAAGATTTATCAAATAGTTTAATTGTAACATCCTAAATTTTAATCCCTTGATTAACTAAGCTTAATTAAGTTGTTAGTGAGGTGTGTGGCCAAAGAGGTTTGACGGGCGTGTTTGATTGTGTTATCAGCCATAAAAGCTAGTCCGAAGAAGGATCAGTTGGATGTGAAAAGAGGAAGAAAAGTGAAGAGGGAAGACTCTATGCCATGCATTGTGTAACATCCGAGAAAATTAATCATGATTAGTTAACCCAATGATTTTGATTAGTGAGCTAATGAAATATGTGACTAGAGGGGCTTAACTTAGTGTAATTATTGTGATTTCAACCCTATAAGTTGGTCCAAATCGATGATGGGCCATCCGAGCAAGGAAAGAGGAAGAGAAAAGTGAAGATTTGCTCTATGTGCAACATGTTGCGGCATGTGGTCAGTCTATCGTAGTGCATAGGGGAGATTTGAATATAATGAGTAGTAACAGCCCTCACCCTACCCCACCGGGGGTCTTTTGGATTGGGCCTACCCACATCACTGTAGCAGAGACCAACTTTCCTGAAGGTGGTACTTGAGTTATTTCTCACCCTACCAAAGAGGTTTTTTGGAACCTTCTCAGACTCAAACCTCCAACCTCTACCACCTTAAGGAAGTTGAGGCTAAGTCTGGTACCACTAGGTCACCTTGAGAGCTAGAAAAGTTCTGATGGTAAAAATACTTTAAGAGCCACGAAACACCCTATAGAAAGAAAAACTAACGTTCAAAAAAGAACGGATAATGGCAACGCTAGCATGCTGTTTGAGCTAGAGAGCTATTCGTGTGGATACCAGTAGAGGGAGTAGATCTAAGTTGTTAGCTTCTAAAATCCAAACTCTTAAAGAGAACGTGTGTCAAGTTCAAAGAATTAAAAGGTAACTTTTTTTTCCATCTTAACTTAAATGAGTTTGTTTAGTCCATATTAGGATAGGGACTTCAAAATTTTAATCTTCCACTGTGCCTCCCTATCTAACAAAGTGTTTTTATAGTCAGAACTTTTTAACTCTCTCATCTCTCATAAAGGACGTCCCTATCTATATATAGTATATGGATTAGGATTTTTGTCTTCTACTTAAAAGCCTGCAAAAATTTAGTTAAATTTATCTCATAAATTTAATACATGATATCATATCTAATTCGAATTTATCTTATAAATTTAAATTATAAAATTGATATGATATTCTCTCATATCATGTTAGTTATTGAATTTAATTTATTATATAAAATTAAATTTAAAACTAACATAATATAATATGATATAATATAATATAATATATATCACATATACATATTATATATATACGAATATATATACACATATATATTTCAAAAAATATATATAAAATTATATTTTGAATTTTATATTTCATATAAATATATATAAATATTTATTAAATAAATATTCAAATATATATATATATATATAATTCATTCACCTTATATTACATTCATTAAATCTAGACATATTCCAGATTCAATGAACTTAGATATTATAGCTCGAGTTGGGCTGTTCTTATATGTGACCCTATAGATCCATATGAAATCGGCAATAAGCTAATTACGCTATTAGCCCACAAGTCATAAGTAGCCTCTAGCAATACATTGCAACTACCCAATTCACATGGGGATCAATGATCCAATATAACTTATCATGCAACTGTGTCACATCTCTTTTGTCACACGATATTTCGGTCAAGTATGAGATATGAAATTGTTTTCTCCTTTACTTGACCGTTACTTTCTTGATCTCTG